AGGCCTAAGTAAGTATATACTATATGGCAATTGCCGAAAATAGGGGACCCGAAGATAGTACCTCCAATAGTAGGATCCTTATTAATAAGGACCCCAACTTTCAGAAATTCCCATATGGGCACATGGGGCATTAGCAGATTTGACTTGGTGCAGCAAGGGAGCGGCTGCGAAACTGTATCAGCAACACTGCACGTGGTCTGTAACGAAAAGAACTGCTGGCGTGCATAGAGGCTGAGCTGCTGTTTTCGTTAAGTACATCGGGATGTGCATTCCGATGTCAATTGCGAGAAAACCGTCTTCACTCATTACAACCAAATGCCGCACGGGAAAGTGGAGTCCTTTTATTCTCGGCAAGCACGTACGATCAGATCATATCAAAAGTCAGATGCACATCCCTCAACCGAAAACTCTATCAAACTCGAACCAGAACCCTACTGACATGACATCCGGTCTAGCCGTCTCTCGGGACCTCGTCGACTGCGCCGCACCTTGGCGCAAGAATGCCACGAGCCATGAACTGACTCGAGGACATCAGGGTCTCAGAGCCCTAGGTTTAAGTTTTTGGTTCACCAAAAACAGGAACTACAAAGGATACTATAGGTACGGGATTTTCAGGATTTTGTCAACAATCCAAAATTCCGGACGGTCGGAGATCCAGGGTACTCCCCCTGATCTTTGTGTGCACCCGCTTTGATGTAGGAACCTGATTCAGAAACCTGGGCCTTTATTAGGGTTCCTTATATGAATCCTGCTATCTTGGGGTTATAGGCCCAGGGTTTCTTAATCAGTTTCCTACATTACCCCATTTGCCCACTGGCAAAGCCGGCCCAAACCTCTCAGGGGTATGTTTATACCTCAGCGGGTGCGAGAGGCAGGTTGTTTGGTGGGAACCCCGGAAACCCTCTTCTCGTCGAGCGGCCAGCACAGGCTGTTCTGACCAGCAACCCGACACCAAGCCATCATAGCTGTGGTTTGCTATGATTTGTGGTCGAGCTATGTAGAACTACGGAAGCAAGCAGAGAGCAAGAAACCCCTTGAGAGGGGTTTCGGGGTTGAACCCGAAACTCCAATTGAGAATAGTCGGGGTTGTTGTTGGGGCGGCATTACATATTGACGCAAGCGTGCTATGCGTGGGTGCGACCCCATTCCTAAAGAAGCGCACACTGTATACAACCCTAAACCCCAAACCTTGGAACCCCAAACCCCTCCCCCGTCCAATTTTGGAAGATGTCGTATCAAACACATATTTACCCCCACCCCTGCTATAACCCCTAAACCCTAAACCCTACGACCTCAGCCCCCACTCCTGAACACGAAGCCAGGTGTGGAGAGTCTTTGTAGGGTTTAGGGGTTGTGGGGTTGTGGGTTTAGGGGTGTGATGTTTCTCATCAGGTTTCGTGGTTTAGCGATGTAAGGGATCAGGGTTGAGGGCTTGGAGAATACGGGTTTAGGGTATATACCTAGACAATACACCCGAAAACATGATAAGGAGCGAGAACAACGGCAGGTTGTTTAGGTCTAGGTACGATTAAGGCGCTTAGAGTTTGAGAGGGTTGAGTTGATGCCTAAACTCCAAACCCCTAAAGCCCAAACCCCTAACCCCTAAACCCCTAACCAGTAAACCCCCTAAGCCCTAAACCCGAATCGGCTTCAGGGCAGGGGCTTCGGAGCAAGGAGCCTGGCGGAAAAGGGTTGGGGGTTCTAGGGGGTACGGTTGATGGATCATGGGACTTAGTAAGTAAGGTTCCTTAAAAGGGCTCCTTAAAGGGATCCTTAAAGGGTTCCTTAAAGGGATCCATAAGGGGTATATGGGACTTAGTAAGTAAGGCTATAAGTACCTTAATTGGGGTTATAAGTAGTGATAGGTATAGTTACTTTACTTGGTTGTAGGGGGTAGCCCTGTGCCTCCAGGGACCTTACTATGGGGTCCTTAAGGGGTCTAGGGCCCTGACCATGAAGTCCTTGGAGGGATAGGCTAGGGTTTAGGGGTTTAGGGGATTCGAGGTTTCGGGCTGTCAGGTTTGGGGATTGTGTTCGGAGGCTGTTTCAGCGGAAACTGAACAACGAATGACTTTGGTAAATTGGGTATCTTCCCTGAGGAGAATATAATAAATAATATATGTATAAACATAATATAATATAAATATATATATATATATATATGTATATATATATATATATATTTATATTTATGTATATAATCGGCCACCAGGCTCGCGGGAGCAGTGTGCGCAGGGAATGGCCCCCAAACCCTACCTTCATAGAGCCCTAGACCTTAAGGCCTTAAAGCCTTTAACACTAATCCCCCAAAGCCCTACAGCCCCAAGCCCCAAAATGAAAGCGAAGAGCTCCTAAAAGCCCCAATCAATCTTGGGGCTCAGACCATGACAGCCCTGTGGCGATAGGAAGCCGATCTCCAAGCTCTGCTTAAAAAGGCCAAAGAGGGGTTCCCTCCTGGACAAGAAGCCCTGTCCGTGAACAGTAGATGCTAAGCCAAGATTCTGATGCTGATGGTGCTGCTGATGATGTGTTCATGCTGGCGATTGTAACGATGATGGTGGTAATGATGATGTTGTTGATGATGATCAGAATTTACATAGCAATAGGCAGACCTGATGCTGAACAGGTATACGTAGTGGAAAGCATTACAGCCCAAGACAGTGGAAGGATATCCCTAAGTGAGGGCTGTATATCGGCAGCACGCATCATTCGGAATTGCAGACTACCGGGCAGGGGGCTCGTCCTGCATGCTTGAGCACAGAGCTGCTCGGCCACCCGCATGCGGAAACGTGACATACGGTTGTGGAACAGATTAGAACTTGGGTGCTCAGCAGTTGAGGGCACTCGAAAGCATAGGATAAGGAGGAGGAGGAGGACGACGACGACGATGATCGCGTCGACATCGACAGCAAGGGCGACGATGGCAACGGCAACAGCATGCAACTAGCACTAACAAAAACATGAACATCAAGCACAAACCCAACAGCCACAAGTAATCAGCGACAGACAGGTGCTCGCTGGGCTTTGGAAGATTGGAACAGAGGATAGTATTTGCGGAGTTTAGGCTTATTTCACGACGGCGATGCGCGCAGGGCGTCACTAGGGGTACCACTATGGAATGGAGGTCTGAGCAATCATAGCAGCAGCTTCTGAGTATAGTCCCTCTATCATACCTAAGCTACTACTATGGAAAATACGACTTATACACAAAAAACTCAAAACAACCTTATCCTAACTGTTAATGACTCCATAGTACTGCGAAACTTTGCATTGCACCTCCAACTGTTGAGGCCGTCTCTGACTGGATTTCGAAGTTCAGTGTTTATAAAATGTGGGCTAGGGCTTAACTATGGGGCCGCGCTTGGTGTTTCGAGTTTAAGCTTTGGGGTTTAGGGCTCATATCTAGGATCTAGGGGTTCGAATACACTTTGCGGGTGTACAGAGGGAAAGCACAGATTTGGGGAAACTGGAGGTAGGTCAGGGAGCCTGTAACCGTTGCTGAGGGCGACAAATGTCCACCCGACTGCCAGTCTCAAAACAATAACAGAAATCGTGGTGTTGGTTAGGAACTAGCACGATCGCTTAGTGAGTACTAGCCTAATACTAGCCTAATGCTAGTAACCAGTAGCAGTAGCAGTCGTCGTGGTATTGGCACTGGCAGTAGCAGTAGCAGGAGCAGCAGCAGCGGCAGCAGCAGTGGCAGGAGCAGCAGAGTAGGAGCAGGAGCAGGAGTAGGAGGAATTGTAATAGTCGTCGTCGTCATCACCGTCGTGGTGTTGGTGTCGGTGTTTGTCTTGGTGGTGGTCGTGGTGGTGGTGGCGGCAGTGCATCGTCGTGGTAGTAGTATATAGTAGTAGACAGTAGTCGTAGTAATCGGTGTAGTAGTAGTAGTAGTAGTAGTAGTAGTAGTAGTAGTCGTAGTAATCGGCGTAGTAGTAGTAGTAGTAGTAGTAGTAGTAGTAGTAGTAGTAGTAGTTGTTGTAGCAGTAGTAGTAGCAGTAGCAGTAGCAGTAGCAGTAGCAGTAGCAGTAGCAGTAGGAGTAGGAGTAGGAGTAGGAGTAGTAGTAGTAGTAGTAGTAGTAGTAGTAGTAGTAGTAGTAGTAGTAGTAGTAGTAGCTGGCGGGTCTAGGAAGGGCTTCTTTTGTCAGTCTCTCGGTCTGCAAGAATCTAAGAAGCCGACCTGTGCTGAAACCAATGTCCATTGCACACAGGCTGCAGGTATCCTCGTTGACTCTGTTCGAACGGTCAAGGAATCCTGCATGCCTCGCTGGCCTAGGTCTCATGGGAGTTTCCGAAAATTGGGGATCCCTTGTCTTGGGGTCCTTACAATAAGGGTCCTACTATTGAGGGTCCTATATTAGGGTCGACTGTTTTCGGAAACCCCCATACTTTCTTGACAGCTAAGAAAACCAAGATCAACCCCCAGCCCCCAAAGTAGGGCCAAACAATCTGGAACATGCTTGTGCAGCGGCTGCTCTGTTAACACCGAAACCGCCCACCAGAAGTTCCCTCGTAGTGTGTACCAGTACACATACTGAACATTGAACATATTGCCGATCTGAGAAATCCTCCTCACATCCCAAGCATGCCCCGGGGGAATCCTCTGCAGTCCATTCCCTTTGAGAACCCATCACTATGAGAATGACGTAATTACTCTTCTTCAGTGTAGGAATTCGCAAGTTTGACCCGACTGTGTCGGACTACCCAGGTACTTCCGAAATACATGCAGTGTTCTGTAACGGCCTTAGGCACCAAGCCCCGATCGCCAACCCGAACCCTTAAAGCGCTACAGAGTACAAACCCACATATCCAGCAGACCTAGACCTACGCCCTAAACCTCGTGACACCCAAATCCCCAAACCTCCCGCCAAAGGGTTTCTCACTTGCTGCGATTAGACGCAGAAAAGTTCACAATGCACCGTAATTCTAAACCCTCAACCCTAAACCCTAAACCCTCGACCCTAAAACCCTAATGCCCTGCAAACTAAGCGCGCAGGGACTCAGAACCAGCCGGCGTTCCTTCCATGGCAGGGATGCAGGGTTTAGGGAGCCTTAATACTTAGAATATATAAGGTTCCTTTAAAGGGGGCCACTATCAGGGTTACTATAGATCCCTTTTGGGTTCAGGGTCTAGGGCTTGAACGCCATACGCCCCACAAACTCTACGATTGACTTTATGGAAACCATCATCAGGAACACCACAAAGGTAGGTTTGTCAAGGTTTAGTGAAACCTTAATGTAGGGGCCTAAATAATTACCAAGATTATTCCTTAGGGTTCCTCATTATAGTATGATTATTAAAGCCCCTGTGTATGGGTGTGTCGCTTTTCGGTTCAAGACAGGAAAGCTGCGGCTCTAGGGCTTGGACTTGGGTTCCTTTAAAGGGATCTATAAGGGTTCCTGTAAGGGGATCTATAAGGGTTCCTTTGAAGGAATCTATAAGGGTTCCTTTAAGGGATCTATAGGGCTTGGGGGTTTTGGAGGTTTCGGGCCTTTTTAGTTTGGAGGTTAGCGTTCTGGGGTTTAGGGATTTAGGTGTTCAGGGTTTGGGCTTTGCTTTATGAGGTTTTATGGGGCCTACTTATCGGGCTGTTAGAAAGGTCGGATGCATTTAAAAGACTTAACCCTAAACCCTAAACCCCTAAACCCTAAACCCTCAACCCTAATCGTGAGGGTTTTCGTGCTTAGGACTCCAAGTGTTTAGGGTCTCCTCGGGTGTTGGAAATACGGTTGAGGATATAAATCCTGCGCTACGTTAAGGACCCTAAAGTATGGAACTTATGGTGTATTCCTTATGGGTAATGCAGGATTTATCTCATCAACCGTGGGCAAGGTAATGGATTCTAAATGCCTTGCCAAAAGGCAGCCTAAGAATGAAAGGAAAGGGTGTTAGGCTTTGGGGTTTAGGGTGTAGGATTCTAATTGCCTTGCCAAAAGGCGGCCTAATATAAGGGCCTTAGTGAATAGGACAAGGTTTTGGAGTACATTTTCAGTAGTGTGATGATAAGGAACCCGAAGGAACAGAGCACGAATTAGTCAGGGCTTCTCTGTTGTTCTACTCTGTGCTAGAAGTAAGAGTTCAAGAATGCAGAAATGTCCGGCCCCAAACCCTCAACCCTAAACCCTTTCGGCTTGCTGCAAGCAATCTTACCTCGGTCAACCACGATCACTACGGTTGATGATATATATCTTGCATTACCTTAAGGGCCCTAAACTATTGGAAATATGGTATATTCCTTATTCTGGGTCATGCAGGATTTCTATCATCAACCGCATCAGCATCGCCTGGGCTCTACCACCGCGATTTCAATCTACTAGAGGGGCCTTAATCATTAGACCAGGGGTTCAGGGTTTAGGGTTTAGACCCGGGTTTTGGGGGCGAATTATACTAACAGTACAAACAGTAGGTAATCATTAAGGCCCCTAGATTGCATCGCCTCCATAGGCATTCTCACCAGCGTTACAGTCATCACCCTCCTCACCATGATCATCATGATCGCCATGGCCATCCAACCCATGACCATAGTCTGCGGCACCATCTGCTGCATGTCGAGTGAGTTTGGGAAACTCCAACAACCCTCCATAATGGAACCATTGCAGCACCTCTGTAGAGCCCTTTTGAAACTCTCGTAGTTGAACGACCCGTTTAAAGCCTGTAATGGAACTCCGAATGCCAACTCTCATATAAAGAAACCTTAACGGGTGTTTAGATACAGGTACAAGTATAGATACCCGACACATCGACAGATAGACGCTTAGGTCTAGACATATTGGCCTTTAGCTAAGCATGCAGAAAACACAGAAATATTAGATGTAGATGATACAGATACAGATATCGCTAGGTATTTTTAGCTGTAGAAGCAGAATGACAGATGTGGATATAGATATAGGTACAGATATTGGTCTGGACAGAGATCCATACGTAGATAAGGAGGCAGACATGTGCAAAGACATATGGATATAGGCACAGTTGCAGAGACAGATACAGGCACCGAGATACAAAAACACAATGAACCCCGAATAAGATCCCCGAACGGGCCCTTCAACGCTTTGTACCAACCCTCGAAGATCCCCCCCCCCCCTGCTAATCGCACATGAAATACCATCTCCACTCCAATCACCCTGTTTACACCTCAAACAACCTACACCCTACACCCTTCAACCCCTAAACCCTCACCCCTGAACTCGAACCCCTAATCCCCCCCAAATCCGGAAGCCCATCATAAGCCCTAAGCTCTTAAAGCCCCAGAGGTGCACCAAGGTCGCTGCATCTGAGGCATGTTGAGCCCTTCATCCTAGGCTTTAGGACTATACTTAGAGGATCATGGGACTTAGTAACTACGATTCCCTTTAAAGGGTTCCTAAAGAGGGATCTATAAGGGTTACTATTAAAGGTTCTATATGGGTCTTGGGGGGTACTTAGAGGATCATGGGACTTAGTAACTAGGGTTATAATTAAGGTAACTATACTTATAATCACTTATAACCCCAATTAAGGTACTTATAACCATACTTACTCAGTCCCATGATCCTCCAAGTAGAGATTAGGATTTGAAGGATTTCGGGTTTAGGGCTGGGGTTCAAAAGGGGATCCCTTCAAGGGCTCTGTCATAGCGTCGCTTTAACGGGTAAGGCCCCCCTCTACGGGACTGATCCGATAAGGATTGGGGTGGAGGAGTTGAAGGCTTAAAGGTCTCTGGCAGGATTCTTTTTCGGCTTCCTCTCAGGATTCTCCTCCACGTATGTATAAGGGAGTTTCCGAAAATGGGGGGACCCGAATATAGTACCCGAAATAGTAGACGTCTTATTGTAAGGACCCCAAAATAAGGTACCCCTAATTTTCGGAAACTCCCATAAGGCTTCAGCGGTTCGAAGCCTGGGAGTGTAACTAATTATATTGGTAGATGTCAAAATCGGGGGTCCCTTTTTGGGTACCCTAAACATTAGGTGCCGTATTATAAATAATAGAATAAGGATCCAAAAAGGACCCATAATTTTGACAACCACCCATATCACTGTTGTAGTCGAGGGTTTGTTTTGAGGTGGGGAGGCTCCGGGGCTGGAGCTCGCCTTACTTAGAGGATCATGGGGCTTAGTAACTCGGGCTCTAAGTAAGGTAACTATCCTATACTTCTAACTACCTATAACCCGTATTAAAGTACTTATAACCTTACTTACTAAGTCCCATGATCCTCGAAGTAGGGCATAACGACCATTAAATGAACTCACTGTGACTAGCTGTGCTTCTCGGCCGCACTGTGCGGGTTTCGCTGGGTTGTATGTATAGCTATAGCTGTCGCCCTTAGGCCTTAGGCCCCACTGACCTTAAGCCCACAGTAGGACTTTAGTGTTGAATCTGCGGACTTTAAACCCTTAATTAACCCCAGACCCAGACTCTAAGCCCAAGCGACTTCAGAGATTTTGAAAATGCCTTTACAATGAAGAAACTCACATAGTCGATGGGTCTACCAGGACACCTCAGGGACCCTCTGATAGCTTTTGGTCCTTAATATTGGGTATTTGGGGCACAATATAGGGTAGTCGGGGGGTCTAGGATGGTCTAGGTAGGTTTTAGGGCTTAGCGCTTAGGGCTGAGGGTACGGGGTTCCATGCATTGCTGTGAATGCACCTGATGTGATGCGTCAAGAACGGTCGCAGATTTTGCACATGTAGAAGCGCCCGAGAGCATATACCATGTACTTGTAAATCTTATAGATAATTACTAAAGCCGACCTATAGTAATTTGTACTGCCTGGTATCGACTGAAACAGGCTCTGGGAGGACTCTATGTTTCCTGCAATGCCGATATGCCTGGGCTAACGTGAACCTGGGTACCTGCTTGAAAGCCAGCGCTGGATCTCAAACCCCTGAACTGCACATCCGTAGCATAGTTGGTGAAGCACTTTCTCTGCAGGAAACTTCAGAAAATCAGGGCCCCCTCATGTAAGGGTGCTGACAATAATGATCTTCAAACTTGTGGTTGAAATCGGGGGTCCTGATGTCTACACCTTCCAGCTGCAGGGTTTTGGTATGAGGTCGCACACTGCAAGCAAGCTTCCATTCCGCAAAGAACGTCTAGGTCAACTGGAACACCTGTCGAGTCGAAACGTGCCGAGGCGCAGAAGTCTGTGGACACAGCGTAGTTTGTGATGATTCCCCCAAGGGTCCAAAGGACCCAATAATAAGGTCTTTGGGTTTAGGATAGTAGTTATGTGGGTTTATATTTGGGAGAGCATATGATTATGAGGTACATGGACCCTTATGGATTCAAAATACCTAAACCGCAACCCAAGCCCAATCCCTAAGACAAGGAAGATTCTCTGCTCTAAGCCGTGTGAAGACTAAGACAATCCGACATCCGCGAATGTCTCCTAGATAGACGCTGACTTGCAGTGCCGTGTTTTGAACAACCTAGCTTATGGTCAGGGCCCTGTGCACATTGCAACGAGCAACGAGTGTAAAGTACTAAACCTTGAACCCTAAACCCCAAAGCCCAGAAAGAACAAGCCCCACAATTCTCCAAACCCCAAACCCAAACCGCCCCCCTCCCAAGTCCGAACACCTACCCCATAGTGTGGTATCATGATAACCCGGAGCGGCCGTGCGACTTTTCTGCATGGACATGAAACGAAACCCATACCCCCGGGGAGGATCACGGTTTAGGGGTTTTGGTTTAGGGGGTTAGGGATTTAGGGTTTAGGGTTGAAACTAGATCCCTTAATTTGGCGGCCCTATACTACTAAGGGTACTTTTTGGAACCCCCATTAAGGGATCTACTATCTGGATCCTCCCGGGGGTCTGAGGAACAGATGCAAGGCTGCAGACGCCTAGTGCACAACACATTCGTTCATGATACAGGTGATGGCGCCCACATGTGGGAGTTGCATCCTCGGAAACTCCCATGTTGGCAACACCAGCGAGCCTCATGGGGCGTTTTCGTAAGGAGCATGGAGGATGCAGTTCACGGCTTCGGGGTTTTGGCGCTAGGATGAGCTTGGGCTTTAAGTTTCGACCCCCGACTCCCCTAAACCCCAAACTCGAAGCCTTAAACCCCTGACCTCTTAAACCTTTAGAACCTAGACCCCGCTAAACCTTTAAATTCTAAACCCTCAACTAATCCCTAAACCCTCAAGCCCTTGTGTCAATCTACCCAAAGGGTCCAAGTATCATTACGTTATATATTTAGACCCCGCCCCCTGTAATAGTGGTAGAATAGGAAAACAGTAGGGCCCTAATATAATCCTTACAGTCACTATTACAGGGTATACATATATATATATATACATATATATATATACTATAATGATACTTGGACCCTTTTTGCTTGCCCAGCACGGTCAACCTCCAGGGTCTGCATCTGCTGCACCGTGCGGAGCAAAGACTGAACCGAGTTCCGTGGCCTTTCCTGGGCCGAGGGTTTAATGTAGAGGAACCTAGGAATAAAAAGGGGTCCTTTGAAGGGTACTATAAGGGTTCCTCTAGGGGATCTATAGGGGTTTAGAGTTTAGGGAAGCCAAAATAATTACCAATATTATGGTTAGGGTTCCTTAATCTACATATACTATACTGGGCCCCAACACACTGTCCTGTTTCTTAAGGGCTGAGGGTTTAGGGTGGTTTAGGGCTTTACGGGCTTTCCTGGACTGAGAATGGTTGAAAGAACCCCTCCCAAAAAACCCTAAACCCTACTAAACCCCTGAACACCTAAACCCTAAACCCTAAAACCCTCAACTCCAAACACAAACCCTCAGCGTTCACCCTACTGGCTTGGCAAACCCGGAGGGTCCACAAATATGAAACCCAAGAGTAACCTAGGAATAGAAAGAGGTCCTTTAAAAGGCTACTATAAGGGTTTCTTTAGGGGATCTATAGGGGCTTAGAGTTTAGGGTTTAGGGACCCAAGAGTAACCTAGGAATAAGAAGGGTGCCCTTTTTGCTTTGAAGCGGGGTTATAAGGAAACCTGAAGCCCACCAAAAAAGGGAACAAGGGCCTGCTCTGGGCCCTCAGGGATTAAGCTGCAAAAGATCCTCCTTACGGTTGATGATGTAAATCCTGCATGACCCATAATAAGGAATGTGCCATAAGTCTCATAGTTTAGGGTCATTAAGGTAATGCAGGAGTTGCATCATCAACCTTACTATGGCTTCGGGGACCGAACTTCTACAGCAGTAGTATATATGGACTATTAATTAAATCATAAACCCGAAACCCTATTTCAGAAAAACAAGTAGGAGAAACAAAAGAGTAATTCCTAGAACTACACTATAATACTACATCCTAATAACCCAGATATAGGTGAAATGAAGGTTAAAGGATTATGATCCTTCTGAACCCTAAAAGCCCTAAAAAACCCTTGACGTTCACGCAGACTACACCCTAAACCCGAAATCCCACTCAGGAGCTTAAAGTCCCCACACCAACGTGCATTTGCATCATCATAGGGACCCTTAGCGGGGTGGAGGGAGGGGGTGGGGAGGCTTTAATGCTAATAATAAAAACCTAATAAAGTCTATTTAAGGAAGTACAGTCTCCCTACCCCCCTCCCCCTTACCCCCCTAAGGGTCCCTATGACATCACCAGCTCCAAAGGTTCCCTTAGGGCTCCAAGTCTACTTGAAGGGTCATGGGACTTGGTACCTGGGGTTATAAGTAAGCTAGCTAGACTTTTAACTACTCACAACCCCAATTAAGGTACTTACAACCTTACATAATTTCTAAGTCCCATGATCCTCCAAGTACACGTTCTGCCTACTTTGGGGCTGAAGCTATTTGGAGCCCTGATGTTCTGATATAGCAGATGAAGGTTTGGGGTATTATTACGGAGTAGCCGCATTAAAAGGGAGCTACAGGGGGATGCAACTGCCAGTCAGTCCGACCCGTGATTTACATTATTGTCGTGGCCCCGTCAAACTGAAACTTCACCTATCCCTTGAGCTTTCACTGATATGATAGAAGACCAGTCGCCTTTCCAAAGTCTTGACAAAAAGATGTTGCAGGTTCATTCGTATAGGGGTGATGATGACGATGCTGACGGTTACGAGTATTGCTGTGCTGTGGTATATATAGTGTTCTCAGTGTCTTCACTCTACTATGATTACGAACACTCACTTGGCCACCATTTAGGGTACAAACGAGAGTAACTGAAACGATCAATATCATAGCTGCGAAGTTGTGGCTTCTGAACTTCATCGAAGGCAGGACATCGAGAACCTTTGAGATTCAAGCCCATGCTTCCTCGGATACCCATAATTAATCCCTAAACCATACCCGACACACTCTGAATCGTAGAGCCTCGCCTCAACCGTCATGCATAAACCCCCGAAGCCCCTACGAGCAGGTGGGTGTTACAGGTTTTTGTCTATACCCGCCTTAGAACCATACGGTAAAAGCCAGAAAGTTGGAATATGATTACCCTAAACCCTATCCTACCCTGAAACCATATTCCAACTTTCTGGAGTTCCCTTTAATGAAACTACTATCTTTACTAGTCTCTTGGGTTTTATATGAACAAAACTAGTTCCTACGGTGACTATAGTTGCAGGGACCACGTCCCTCGCAAGAATCGCCACTCTAAGGCAAGGGACCCAGGTGTTCAGGGTTTAATTTCTGGGTTTTGGTCATACGAGAGTTTCCGAAAATAAGGGGTATCTTGTTTAGGGGTCCTTATAATAAGGATCCTACTATTTAGGGTACTATATTAGGGCCCCCTACTTTCGGAAACCCCCATGTGGTTGAAATTGGGTCATACGGCAGTGTTGGTACTAAGCAGCAGGAACCCTCGAAATCCTCAAAGTCCAGCGTGGACCGTCGAAGACGCCAAGGGAAACCAAGCAAAAAGTGAAGGCAAACCCAGGAACCTCCACCCTGCACGACCCTGGAGAATAAGACTTGATTTAGGCCTCATGAACCCCATACTCTAAACCCTCCCCTCAACCCAAACCCTAAAGCCTGAAACTAGTGGAACACTACTGAACTCGGGGTGTGGCGTGGCGCACCCGTGGCAATCTTCACCGTCTCCTGGACCTGTGGCACAGGCTCAAAGACTAGTGATTTAGGGTTTAGGATTTAGGGTTTTGGGACCTAGGAGTAACCTAGGAATAAAAAGGGTGCCCTTTTTGTTTTAAGGCGGGGTTATAAGGGAACCTGAACCCCATAAAGGGAATTAGGGCTTACTCTGGGTAAGATACCGCAGTGAGCCGCGAAACTCGACCGTGAACAGAAGTCATGACCTAGGTCCATCCACAGAAGCTTTGTTACCTGCATGGGTGGTTGTCAAAATTAGGGTCCCTTTTTGGGCACCCTTAATCTTAAGTGCCGTATTAACACAAGAACCCCAAAAGGGACCATAATTTTGACAACCACCCACATAGCAGATCATTGTCTTTGGACCCCTAGTAAAGCCCTAGTACTCCTTGTACACATGACCTGGGTCTCTTGCAAACGATGACACCTTGCATCTTCAAAACCGTCAATAAGTCTACTGCTGCACTGGCCAGTACAATGCACAGCTTTGATACATGGGAGCCCGCTGAAGGGACCAAAATCATCGCCGAATCTTAGGTGGGGGTCTGAATAATTGAGCACGGCTTTAATGTACAGTATACTACATCCCACACCTAAACCCGACTATGACGGCCTCTAAAGCCAAAGCCCTTCGCTTAAAGTCCTGTGCCTGACTGAAGCTCGCCATCGTCCGTGGTCTCTCTGCTGCAGAAGAAAAGAGCAGATCCTCAGGGGCTGTAGAGTTTCTAGGATTGTTTGTTTAGGGTGTAGCACTTGAAAGGCTAGGAGTTAGGATTTGTGAACCCTTGTATATATATATATATATATGTATATGGACCCGCTCAATCATGAGGTCTCGTTTAAGACAGCCAGAAGTAGGGTTAAGAAAACCTACACCCTTCAAGGGGACTGGGGACTTAGGGGCTTTAAAGCTTTCAAGGCGTAGGAGGAACAATATAAGCGCATCGCAAAACACCCCCAATCGAACCCTTGAAGATCAGATAGTAGCCTGCAAAAAAAATCGAGACCATGTGAAACGTCATAACACCCCAACGCCGCATGAAACCCTGTGATAACCACGAAACCTCAACTTAGAGGATCATGGGACTTAGGAACTAGGGTTATAAGTAAGGTGACTATACTTATAACCTATAACCCCAATTAGGGTACCTATAACCTTACTTACTGAGTCTCATGATCCTTTAAGTGATAACCACGAGCCCTCAACGACAGACTGTCTCAAATGCCCAAGGGGCCAAGGACTGACGCTCGCCTCAGCCAGGATTTGATTTGTGGTGTTGAATTTTCAAGGCTCAGGTTCCGGGGTGGGGGATGAGGAATTTGGGGATTAGTACTCTCATTTACAGTTACCTGCTCCGAGCGGTTAGAGATTTGGAGTTTCGGCGCTAGTGTACTTAATGGTCTGAGGTTTAGCTTTAAGAAACTTGCGGGCGCAGTGCGATACGGTATGCCAGCCGAAAGTCAAACTGGCACTGTCCATCTCAATGTAAACATACCAACAGACAGGCAAGCAGACACACAAGCAAACGACTCAGCATGCGCATGCACACCTACTGCATGCTTCTACATATGTATGTACCAGCGCACTCTCCTTCAAAATCACCGAAGCATAGTCAAAGCACTTCTGCAAAGCCGCTTACTAGAGGATCATGGGACGTAGTAACTAGGGTTATAAGTAAGGTAACTATACTTATAACTATTTACAACTCAACTACGGTACTTATAACCTGACTTACTAAGTCCCATAATCCTCCAAGCGGTTCAACTTGTGCCTGTCAGACTGCAGGAGGTAGAACTTGCAATCGATCACTGCATAGGGGCCGTAAGAACTAGAATAAGGTTCCTTTACAAAGGGTCTTTTAAAAGGGCTACTATGGCTTTAAAAGGACTATACTATAATTACAATAAGGAAACACCCACCACAATATAGGCAAATTATTTAAGCCAATATATTATGCTAATGCAGAAGTGGGGGTTTCCGAAAATAGGGGGCGCTAATATAGTACCCTAAACAGTAGGATCCTTATATAAGGACCCCCAAAGAAGGTACCCCTAAATTCTGGAAACTCCCAAGTAGCCATATGTACCAGCAATAGCAGTCCAGACCTCATTGCCACGGCGAACCCTTCTGAGTACAAAAGCAATGCGAAGTCCTGATCTAGACCGAGGAATAACCTAGGAATAAAAAGGGTACTATAAGGGTTCCTTTAAGGGATCTGTAGGGGTTTAGGGTTTAGGGAGATATGGGTGGTTGTCAAAATTGTGGTCCCTTTTCGAGTCCCGAGTATAGTACTGCACCGAATATTTAGGGTACCCTTTAGAGGAACCCTATTGGTAAATATTTAGGCCCCTATGGAAACCCTAAACCCTACACCCTTGATCCGGAGGTCCCGTATTTTCTTGACAGAGGTGCGGGATGCGTGAGGCGTCGCCGGCTTTGGTGACTTTGTCTTCGCTTGGGCGGGGAAGTGGAAGGCCATGCCTCGACTCAAGTTGATGGCCCTAAACCCTAAACCCTAAACCCTAACCCCTAAACCCTAAACCCTCAACCCTAAACCCTTGCGGTTCTACAAAGAAGGGTTGGATAAGGGCATATTTGGGGATGTTGGTGTTCAGGGTTTAGGGGGCTAGCGTTTTCAGAGTTTTAGCGGTTTAGGGCTCCGGGCTTTAGGGGCTTCGCTGCTCAGGTATGAGAGTTACTTGGAGGGTCGGGGGACTTAGTAACTGGTTATTTTAGGGACTTATAAGTACCATAACCCCAATTAGGGCCCCTTTTAGGGTACTTATAAGTCTACTTACTATCTACTTACTAAGTCCCCCGACCCTCCAAGTAAGGGGTACGAGGCTTTGCGTTTGGCGTTTGGGGTTCAGGGTGTGGGCTGCGTGGCTGACGTTCTAAGGTAGGGGCCTTCACAGTTAGTAGAGGGGTTTGGGGTACATTCTACTATAAGGAACAACCCTACAAAAGATCCCTTATAGAGCCCTTTTAAAGATCCCTTGAAAGGAACCCTATTCTAATTATGAAGGCCCCTCAGGTGGCCCTGGAAGGAAAGGCCATCTTCTTGGCTTGCCTTCTTAGGGTTTCGGGGGTTTAGGGCTTTGAGGTTTAGGGTTCAGGGTTTGAAAGCTCCGGGCTTTAGGCGGCTTTAGAGTTTAGGGCTTTGGGTTTAGGGTTTTGGGCTTTGGGGTTTAGGGTTCAAGTCAAGGCTTTAGGGCTTTTGGGGCTTGGGGTGTAGGGTAAGAACGTCCTGGATTTAGTGCTTAAGGTGAAAGAAGGGAATGGGGTTTAGGATCAACACGGTCCCAGACACGGGTGCTCAGATACTACCATGAAGGAGTTGGGCATTGTAAACTCCCCCTGATACCATCCGAGCCGACTATAGGGGCCTTTAAATAAACTGGAATAGGGTTTTGGGTGACGTTCATTTAAAATGATCACAAAAGCTACAAGGCAATCTTCGTGTTAGTTCTGCCGACCCCCTGCATGTACACTGACTACCACCTAGTTCTCAGGTCATAGAAGATCGACTCTAAACCCTAAACTCCCGAGAGACCCAGTCCTGCCGGATTGGGCGCCGAAGTCTCCAAAGTCCTATCACCAAAACATAGCGGCAGCAAAGGCAAAAGCCCACATGCCTCGAGCATCGACCCTAACCGTACCCTAAACCCTGAACCATCCTGAACTCCAACGTGCTAAGCGTCGAATCCCAAGAAAGGACGGTCACAAAGCCCTCACAGCGACGGCTAAGGTTTAGGGTTTAGGGCTTAAAGGGTTTAGGGTTTAAGGCATGAAACTTCACCACCCCTGGCCTCTTCCGAAGGCACCATGCGGGGTGTGGCTTTGGGACCAGATCTGGGCCACCTAGCAGCTGGCTGATATGGGAGTTTCCGCAGATAGGGGACCCTAATATAGTACCTTAAATTAATGGTAGGATCCTTATTGTAAGGACCCCAAAATAAGGTACCCCTAATTTCCGGAAACTCCCAGATGGTGTTACTTGCATTGCTCTTGATGACTTCGGTGGGATGTCGCTGCTGTCGCTGCTGGTGTCACAGATGTTCTGGTGCTTTTGATATTTTAGACCAGGTCGGCGGGAGCTGGTAGTTTGGGAAAGGGTTGTTTGCTGTGTGGTTGGTGAGAAGCCATGTAATTAGGGAGCATACCTAACACCCCCAGGCCCCCAGGCCCAAGATCAAAGCTAGCCACCCAGAGACCTGCTCATAGAAACACGCAACCACACTGAAGTAGAAGACCACGACATGCTAGCAACTGGGCTTCTCAGCCCTAAGCCCTGTAAACCCAGCACACCCTCATCGCCGAACCATTAGGATGAGGTCTTGGAGAAGTGTTGGGTCTACGAGATAAAGGCTTTGCGGCTTCATGGCCAGGATCTTCTCGGAATGGGGTGTGTACCTTCTCTGCCGAAAGTAGCTGTGTATATCACTGCGAAGGAAGAGATCAAAGAGTCTAGCCGCCGGGCTCAAGAGGATGAACCGGGTTTAGGGTTTAGGGTATAGGTTTTTGGGCGGCCCTCAACCCTCAATGATCGGGTTGAGGGTTTAGAGGTTTAGGCTTTGGGTTTCGGGGTTTAGGGCTTTAGGGTTTAGGGTACCAAAGGTGTCATGATAGCAAGTGAAGAGTCGCTTCTGACCAGCTCCATGGCAGGGTTTTGCAGTTCATGCCCCCTGGGGAAACAATGCTACGGTTGATGATATAAATCCTGCAGTACCCATAATGAGGAATATACCGTAATTCCCATAGTCTAGGCTCATAAAGGTAATTCAGGATGTAAACAATCAACCGTAGGAAACCTTTACATGCATATGCCGTGATGTATAACATAAACACACAAACACACCCGCACACACACACAACACAACACACACACACGCGCGCTCGTGCGCGTCTGTTCATGTCTTTTCCTATTACTAAGTGCGGGCGCCTGCATGTCTGATTGAGACGGATATGTTATGTGGTTGCTGCTGTACCTTGCAGGCTAGTTGCGATGTGATGTGGTGTCATGTGATGTGGCATTGCAGAAAATGTTTACTAGCAGATAAGTAAACCTAGCTGCTGAACCCCTAAACCCTAAACACTCACCTGTCAGGAGCTTATGCACATGCAGATCTCGATGTCAAAATCTGGAAGGTCGATGCTAGCCACCATGCCCCATAAACCCTAAACCCTAAAGCCTAGACACATCTGAAACTTCAAGAAAAACTATGGCATTAGTCGGCTTCGCCAAACCTCAAAGGCTCAACTTTATACATGAATTTTAATAGAAGGTCTCAAGGTTTCACCGGGTTTACAGGCTTTGAGGTGGGGCCTATGATAGAAGCCCAAAAGTTGGAATCCCAATAGCTCAATCCTTAAGAGTAATGTAAAGCGAATCCCGGCACTATTGGGCCTTAATCCGGTAACTTTATGGGGTTTACCGTATAGGATATTATAAGGACATCCTTGACCCAGCCTTCTCCATCACCAGCTGGAGTGGAGTCATTCCCGAACCGTCTTCCACAGTTGCACTGAGCGCCTGGATATGAGGCTAGGATGCCCGGTAATCCTTTAAAGGGATCCATAAGGGATCTATATAGGTTTAGGGTTTAAGGGCTTTAGGGTTTAGGGTTTAGGGATCTAGGATGCCCAGTAACCTAGGCATAAATAAAAAAGGGCCCCCCTTTCTGGGTATTGCGTAACTGCATAAGGGACCTGAAAAGGGAAGAAGGGTACTACTGGGCATCCTACCCTAAACCCGAGCATCCTAGAAGGGCTTTCGAATTCCTTGGGCTACAAGGGACAACCATCATGTTTCCGGAGCTTGCGTGATGTGAAGCTTAGAGGCTTGAAGGAGGGGGTCAGGGTGTGGGATTTAGGATGTAGAGCTTGCCCATAGGCCCCATAGTAGTTCCTTTTGGGATTACCTTACCAAAAAGGAACGACAATGGGGCCTATGATTATGGGTAGTGCCAACAGGTAACAGTCTGAAAAACAGAACCAGAGAGAGACTCATCTGCGAGGGTGCGCACAGGTACTGACATGTACGTCTGTGTATACAGAGTTACACTCATGTATATGATATCTATCTATATATCTGTCTACCTACGTATCTATATAGACACATATATGTGTGTATTTAGATGTGCATACACACATACATACACATACACAGAACATATGCAACACGCACACACTACATACACAGAACACATTCGCATACATCGGTAGTAGGATCCCTAGTAGGATTTAAGGATGAATATTCTTAATTAAGGGTAGGATCCCCAATAGGACTTAAGGAATATTCTTAATTAAGGGATGCGCTCGGAACGGAGCCTCAGCCGCTTTGTCCCCGAGCTTCTTGTCTGCCCCAGTCTCAATCAGCACCTGAAGAAGAACAAGAATAAGCTAGACCCCAGAGCAACCCAGGAACAAACAGGGGTGCCCTTTTTGGTTTCAAGGGGCTGATAAGGGAACCTGAGCCCTAAGAAAGGGAATAAGGGCCTACTCTAGGTCATAGTTGGGGTGGTTTAGGGGTTTAGAGTGTTAGGACTGAAGGTTTTGGGGTTCCGGCTGGTAGGATCTAGGGTTTGAGGGTTTAGGTTCTTCTTCGTACCTCTAGGGATGCTTGGCGGGCCTAAAATAGGGCTTAGGGTCTAGAACAACAGGCAACACATGGCAGAATGCATGTAGGATTACGGGGATACTTTCAATCGGGCTGATATAGCTTTATTTATTTGGTGCTGTATGGTACCTGGGGTTTCACCAGGATTTAGATGCTCTAAGGGTGCTAAGGTGCCTTACAAGGTGCAAGGGGTCAGGGCGGCAGGGTAGGAGAGTTGTAGGGTAGCGATTGTAAGTTCGGAGCTGAGAGGGCGAGAGGTGTATGGGGTGTACTTAGAGGATCATGGGACTTAGTAACTGGGGTTCCCTTTAAGGGGGTTCCTATAAAGGGATCTATAAGGGTTACTATTAAGGGTTCTATATGGGTCTTGGGGTGTACTTAGAGGATCATGGGACTTAGTAACTAGGGTTGTAAGTCAGGTAACTATACTTATAACCCCGATTAAGGTACTTATAACCTTACTTACTAAGACCCCTGATCCTTTAAGTAGGGTGCAGCGGGCCCTGTCTTCTTCTGTCTTCTGCAAGGGAGCATACGGGAAAGCAGACACGAGCCCTTCCACATTGAAAGACTTGAAAGACTGCATGTTCATCTCCTATATGGCAACTCTCATGAGAATTCATGAGACTCGTCCCTCGCTTTCCGGACTCTGCACGCACACGCACACACGAGTGAGCGTGTCTTCGAGATCTCCGTGCGTCAACCTTCTTGAATGAAGTTCGGACCTGGGTCCCTGGGGGTCCTGGTAAGCCCGAAACTGAAGCCCTGACCATCCCTAAACCCTGAAGCCCTCTCCCATCTTTAAACCAGATCCTAAGGTCCTGGGTGTAAGGTTCAAGTCAGGAACCGTAAACTCGCAATTTTCTGTCGGGTGCTTAGCAGGGAATGGGGGAATGGATCCCTATGGTAGTTCCTATATAATCCCTTATAGCAGTCTCCATAACCCTTCCCCAAGCAGGCCTTCAGTGCCTCAGCATCGAGCTGGAGGGGTGTTGTGCCTGGCAGAACTTGTCAGAACCCGAGGCTGCCCTAGCAGTCCCGCTACCTGCAAATTAGATTGCAATCGCTGCTCAGTACGTTACTCTTTTTCTTCCTAGTTGCTGAGGTCCTTGGTCCCCCCCAAGAATTCGAAGGATATCTTTCTTTTGATATTACGGTATGGTCCATTCTCATGCCCCCAAAGAATTACGGTTGCCCAGCCAGGTAGAGGAGGTGTAGACGTTAGTGCAGAATCTCCTGAACCCTATTAGACCTTCACCTCAAAGCCCAAACCGTAAACCCTAAACCCTATATACCCTGTGGACCATACGTCCTAAACCATGGTAGCTGAGAGTAGTAGGGTCGAGGGCGTGTTTTAGCGACTCTCAGGTAGTTGCCGGGTTACAACTCGATTCGCACAGGGTTTAGGATTTAGGGCATCGGGTCTAGGTGTTTAGGGTTCAGGGATGGAGTTTTGCGACCTAGCGGTTTGCGATGCACAAGTCTAGTCCTGTCTTGACTTCTTAGTGTTAGCCCACAAGCTCAACCGGAGCTCATACGATCTTGAGATGTGCACTGGCGGGACGGTTGATGATATAAATCCTGCATTACCTTAAGGACCCTAAACCATGGGAATTATGGTATATTCCTTATTCTGGGTCATGCAGGATTTATATCCCTAAACCCTAAAACCCTATAGATCCCTTAAAGGAGCCCCTTAAAGGTACCCTTATAGATCCCTTTAAAGGAACCCCCCGGGATATATCATAAATCATCAACTGGAGCACTGGCCTTAGCTAATTTTGTTGGAGGTCCCTTCGGCCTGGGCCAGAGATCCTCGTTGGCCATCCGAGTCCGTCACGGTTTAAGGTTTAGGGCTTAGGGTCTACCTTAACCCTGAAGAAACTACCTTTTAAGGATTTATATAAGAAATCGTAATAGGGAACCCTAAAAAGGTGGGTTCTTCAGGGTTAAGGTAGGGTTTAAGGTATTTTTCAGGATGTCCCTCCTCCGCGCTTCGGTCTCGGAGGAAATAGAGCTTTGAGAATCGATTAGAGCCTTCCACGCTCTCAATCTTGCTGGCTCACATCACTTTCCGTTTAGGGCTTAGGGGGGATACAGCCGTCCAAGCTACCGGAATCTTCGGAACCCCGATCCTAAAGCCCTAAAGTCAGGCCTTACCCACTCAATTACAACGTAAACCTTTTGCCTTGAAACCCTGAACTCCGTATAGGCGGGTCCTGCTACAGCAGGGATCGCAATAGTTACATGTAACTACATGGCTCTGCAGTCTACATGTTGGGGTCCCCAGTAAGATGCAAGTTGGGTCCTAGGTCCCGTTTCCAGGTTGCTGTACTTCTGACACTATAACCACACATATAACCGACCTAACAAATCCAATGATCCTTCAAGTCTTCTCTGAGACTCTTTCTTAGCCAAGACAGGCTTGGCAAAGCACTCGCGAAGACAAAAGCGGGAGAGCACAGATAGGAACTACCCCTACAACCCAAAAGACCCGAAACTCCAAACCCTGAACCCTGAACCCCTAAACCCTGACCCTAGACTGTACCCCAAAACTGGACCCTAAACCCTGAACCCCTAAACTAACGAAAGGAAGCCCTGAACATCTAAATCCCAACGCTCTTGGAGTACAGGCGTTCAGTCGACGTATAGACTATAATAGGGCACCGAAAAAGCAACAAGCAAAAATCAGGATAGGGACATCCCATATGAACCCCCTTAGAATAAAAACCCAATAAAAAAGGCCTATATCCAAGGGTAAAAGGAGGAACCCTTAATCAGGACCCCTAGGTATATACCCTTAATATAGCCATTACATACCCATTATATAGCCCATTATAGGGTAGGGGTCCCCATTAAGGGTCCCCTTTTCCCTTTGACTATATAAAGAGCATAAGATCGTGACCTCGGAGCCCTGAACCACAAAGCCCTAGAAGTTCAGAGGGCTTCGGGGTTTAGGGTTTAGCGTTTTTTCAAACAAAGCCCTCCAAAAGCCAGGATTTATAGAGTAAGCCGCCCCATAACCCCGACCCCGAATTCAATCTGCAGCTTTGGCCACATTTTTAGGTTCTGATCGTGGGAGCCTGTGGCTGCTATGGTTTTGGAACCGTTTCAGGATGGGTTTAGGGTTTAGGGTAGTTACGCCGACCTGCCAAACTCTGACCCTAAACCTATACATCTATAGTTACTATGAGCCCTCCACCCCAAACCCCTCCCAAAAAAACCTGCTAAATCCTACAAAACCCCATGAATTTTCAACCCTACGGCTGTTTTTTGCAAAGAGAGCAGACAACACCAAGGGTTCCTGGCCTAGGTGCATCGCCGTCCTTGTGCCACAGCTCCAGGGTGCAGGGGCTTAGAAGCTTAGGGGTTGAGGTTTGTACCTTAACCTACCAAAACCTACAAAAAAGTAGGGTCCTAATAATTCCATATTAGGGTTTATAATAAGAACCAACAAAAAGGTAGGGTTTGGTAGGTCAAGGTAACGGTTTACAATAAGTTACAGGTTTAGGGGTTATAGGGAGGGTTTAGGGATTTAGGGTCGAGGGGTTGGGGGGTTCGGGGTTAGGGATTTAGGGTTTAGGTGTTTACGGTTTTAAGTTAAAAGTTTAGGGGCCGGGGTCACGGGGGAAGGTGGTCAGATGTCTCAAGTATTCCGGAGGGGTAAGTCCCTAAGGGTCCATGTACCCAAATAGCATATACTTTAGCCTTAAATTTGGGGCCAAAGTATATGCGATTTGAGTAGGTGGACCCTTAGGAAGTTCTCTAAAAGCCCCAAGCCCCAAAGTCCTATGTCCCCCAAACCCCAAAGCCCTAAACCCCTGAAGTAAAACCCTGAAATTCCGCGAGGTGGGGGACGTTCGGCATATTTTTTTGCAAACCGGGTCCGCAACCGAAGATCAGGGAGATCTTGGTCTGTTTAAGGACCCGACAGTTGGGACGAGCAAAAAGGAAACACAGGGTTCAGGCTTTGGGTTTAGGGGTTTAACGGTTTAAGGTTTGTATACAGACAACTTTCAAAGTTGTTCAGTAAGGGCGGTCGCAACATCTGCGTTGATGGCTTCCTCCGGGCGGATCACCCTCTGCTCAAACAGCAAAGACCGAAAGCACCAATAACCCGAATCTCTGTCGCTTGAATCCCAACAATGATTCCCGTTACGGTCCGTTTGAGGATTTCCGTAAGGGTTCCTGTAAGGGTTCCTTGAACCCGAAAACAGTATCAGCAGTGATTTTGAGCCCCTGCGTTAGAGTATAGTGAGTGCCCTTATGGTAGACCCCCTATAAAGGAACCCCGGAAAGGCCTTAAACCCTTCACTCAAGACCTGAAACTCGAAACCCCTGAACCGTAAACCCTGAACCCCTAAGCCCCTACACCCTAAACCCTATACTGGCCCTACAGCTTAGACTCTAAACCGATCTACTTTCTAGATCCTCCCGGGGTCTGGGTTCTTATTAAGGAAGTTACTTGTATTCCAAATTACCATAATCAGGGTATAGAGTAAATAATCTGGTCTCCTTATTGCGGTAACTTAAGTGGGAGTTTCCGACAATTAGGGGGTACCTTATCTTGAGGCTCAGCGCTAAACCCTAAATACCCCTAAACCCTAAAACCTAAACCCCTACACCCTAAACCCTCAAAAACTCTTTGGGTAGGCTGTCCTGTCTTTTCAAGGAACTATATATAGAAACCATAATAAGGAAACCTAAAAAGGTAGGTCTTTTCGGCTACAGGTATACCTTAAACTCTAAACCCTCAAAACCCTTTAAGTAGGCTCTAAACCCTAAATACCCCTAAACCCTAAAGCCTGAACCCCTACACCCTAAACCATCAAAAACTCTTTGGGTAGGCTGTCCTGAAGCTTCGATCTCGGCGAGACAGGGCCTTTTCGCCACGAGCTCCCGCCGCCAGGGTGGCCTTCCCCAAGCCCTTATAGGAATCCTTGGATCCCTTAAAGGATCCCTGAAAGGAGCCCTTAAAGGAACCCTGTCAGGGTTTCGGGTTCAGGGTTCAGGGCCTAGGATTGCGGACTTAGGCTTGTTCCTCGAAGGGCTCCTGTAAGGGATCCTTGAATAGGATCGGAGGTTTAGGATGGCTTTAGGCTTTAGGGCCAAGGCTTTTGGGCTTTGGATTTTGGGTTAAGGCTTTAGGGCTCAAGGTTTCGGGGATCGGTGTTTAGGGTTCGGGCATTGGGGGTCAGAGCCAAGGGATTAGGGTTTGGGATTCAAGGTTCGGATGTATGGGTTCGGATTTAGGGCTTTAGCGCGGTTATAGGATTTCAAGGTGTAGGATTTATACGGCTTAGAGTTTATAAGGTTTAGGATTTAGGATTGAGGCTTGCTTGAAGGTGATGATTGGGGTTCCAGGTCCCCGGTGTAGGGTTGCTGTACATATGTCACTTGTAACCCTATTTATCTCCTACGCACTAACTGTTGTTTGCTCCTATAAGCCCCTTCAAAAACTGATGAAACCCCATAAACCCTCTTGACACCTTATGAAACCCCTTAATAAGTTACGCAAGAACCCTGCTAGTGCGTACTAAGTACGTGAAGGGAACGGGGGTGGCCGGGGGTCCTGCAAGACCCTGGCTTTCCGTAAGGCGGCCGGCGGCCGACGTGACCGGGAATCCGGGTTTAGGGTGGGGGCGGCAGCTGCATCAATTGCACAAGGACGCTGCTTCACAAAACATGTGCGCCAAGAATTGCCCGGGAACGCTTGATGTGGCCGGCGTGCCGCATCAACATGGGCGCGCGGTGGCAGCCCACACAATCCACCGCCCGCCCGTTCTGGACCGGTAGCAACCCGGCGGGGTTGAAGAACCCCCAACAGTCGCCGGCATTGCGGGTGGTCCACCATGGCACGGCGCTTCGGGGCCGGGGCCAAGTCCGGGAAGTCGCACTCTTTCAGGGTTTCCAATTTGGGGGTTAGCGTTCGTCTGGGCATGCCACCTCCATCCTCATACCCCTGACCCCCTCTGTGTTGAACTCTTTGGCTCTGCAGAGAGTCAAGCATCACTCCAGGACGAGCTCACAGTTTGGGGTGAGTTATAATCGCCATAGGGTGGTATTTTTTGTATGTCATGGCAATTGTAGCTCTATGCCAGGTTTTTTGGACAACAATCTTCCTCTTGAGACGAAATGAACGCATGAAAGGAGCCAACAAACAATTCTTAGAGCTCTTCGTTTCCAGCGCAAAACAGAGCTTTGTACAAAAAGCTGACGGGGATCTACGAGGTTTGAGAGGATTGGAAGGCCAAAAGGGTCCAAAGTAGCTATATGGTAGCATGTAGGGTTTCTATACTAGGAATTACTATTATGATTTGGGGAAGTATCCCCCATAACAGTACCTAGGACCCTTTGGGAGGGTTTTCAAACTTTAGAGACTAGAGCCACGCGAACACGTATCCTACCACTACATCGGGTACAATCCGATTTCCACTGGGCGAAGCCGTAAAGCGTGTAACCCCCAAACCCGAAACCTGTCATAGATCACCTCAAGGGTCTGCATGCAAGCCTTTACATCCTACTTGTAAGTTCTCGAAGGTAGGGTGTAAGGTCTAAACCCTAAACCCTGAACCCTAATTCCAACGTATATCAGGATGTTACATGGACTCTTTTGTGGGCGGTTGAACTGAGGGGCTGGGATGGTACTCCAGTGGGACAAACATCTGCTTTTCATCCCTCTGAGATGTGAGGTATATTATCTCACATCTCAGAGGGATGCCTAGTATGATGTGACTCCAAATTCTGAGCCCTGATCTTTGAACTCCTTCTTCGTCAGCGCGTTCTGAAGTCTGGAAAACTTCAAACCCGCAAACCGCAACAGCGACGAAAGAACAATAAATGTAAAGCCCCGCAGCTCGAACCCTGGCCCCAAACCCGAAGGAAACCCTAAAATGAAGGAGCCGAGCCCTTGCCACACACGTCCAAGACGCAACAGATATCCTATCTGACCCTATAACAAACCTTCGGACGCATTGCCCTATGACTTAATTCCTACCCGCCGCCTGAACCCAATTCCTACTGCTGATGATATTTATAAATCCTGCATTACACATAATAAGGAATATACCATTATTCCCATAGTCTAGGTAATGCAGGATATATATCCTAAACCCCAACCCCCCTATAGATCCCTTAAAGGAACCCCTTAAAGATACCTTTACAGATCCCTTTAAAGCGAACCCTAGGATTTATATCATCAAACGTAGGGGGCCCCTGGAGCATTGAGACCTCCGCCAGGAGCCGTGTCAGCGCGTGGCCTCGCTGTGCGGCCAGCATCCTGTGCTTAGTGCTTCTTCTACTTAAAGGATCATGGGACCTAGTAACTAGGGTTCCCTTAAAGGGTTCGTAAAAGGGATCTACAAGGGTTACTAGTAAGGGTTCTATATGGGTCGTGGGGGGTACTTAGAGGATCATGGGACTTAGTAACTAGGGTTATAAGTAAGGTAACTATACTTATAACACCAGTTAGGGTACTTATAACCTTACTTACTCAGTCCCATGATCCTCCAAGTAGTGCTTCTTCTAAAGGAACCCTTAAAGGAAACCGTATAGGACCCACAAACCCTTAAAGGAACTGTCCTGGTGTTTAGGATAGGGCCGAGTAGGGTATATAGGGTATAGGGACAGGGTGGGGCTGTGGAGCCTATGCGTTGTTCCACTTAGTCTTTTGTTGACTTGGCGGATGAACCGGCAACGCCAGTGAAAGCCAATGATTCCAGTCTCCAGGTCGTTCAGGATTCAGGAGCGAAGCAAAGGACAAACCTTACCCTAAGCATCTAAGGACTTACATATTAAGGCTTTTGGGCCCGAAGACCATACTGTATAAGGCTTTTGGGCTATGTTGATGCCCAGGGTTACTGCAATTGAGCCCGAGGGGTGGACACTGCTGCTCGCATTCGAGCGCCACGGGGCCGACAATGGTTCCCGTGCGCCCTCAAATCAACGCCTGGAGTAGTGCTCCTACGGTTGATGATATAAATCCTACATCGCCCATAACAAGGAATATCCCATAATTCCCATAGTTTAGTGTCCTTAAGATAATGCAGGATGTATATCATCAACAGTATTTCCCTACAGTAACCAATGACCCAAACAAACAGGCGCATTTCCGCCTGGTTACTCATGATAATTCCCTTCCTACTTCCGACTGTATCCCGTACGGCACGGAAATACTAACAGCCACAATGCTTATCAGAGCGTTCACGATTCAAGTCTCGGCTTATCAAACACCGGCAGCACGCTGGATGTCAGAGAGTCGTGTTGTAACCCTAGTTCATGTACCCAACTAGTGTATAGAATGTTAAAGTCGTCCCTAAAAAGGGTAGGTTGAGGGCCTAAGTATCTAGTATTTGGGTACCTGGACCCTTTGGTTAGCAGCATTTGGGCCAAGCGAGCAGCCTCCGGGAATCTTCTACCCCCACATGCAGCGCTCGGTGTGTCGCAGCTGAAATGTCGCCGTATCCTTGGAACCTAAGGAGCCTTGTGCCCATATAGTATATACTCAGGCCATCTCAGGCCTTGAAGGGGTACCTATATGGGTACTTAAAGGCCTAAGAATGAAACCTTGGTGTGATCCATCTTCACATATCGGCGGCTGTCGTCTCCTTCGGTGCCCTTCTCCACAAGCCCTGCTAGAAACTGCTGTGGACGTGACACGAAGATGTGCTCCCAGAGACTCCACCACCCTTTAATTCAAGAATACGGGAGTTTCCGAAAATAGGGGTACCTTATTTGGGGGTCCTTATAATATCGATCCTACTATGTAGGGTACTTTATTAGGGTCCCCTATTTCCGGAAAGTCCCATACCTTAATCATACTAGGGATCCATCAGGATTGCCGGCGTTTCAGGGTTCAAGATCCCGTGCTTAAGTGCTTTCATGGCTGCAGAATGTTTTGTTTCAGGCTTCAGGGCGTGGATGGGCTGCAAGAAGAAGACGAACATGTTCACGCCATTGAGCCCAGAGACTCCCTAAAGCCCTGAACTAGGATCCTAACCCTGAGCCCTAAAACCCCATCGCAAAATCAAATCAAATCCTAAATCCTAGAGTCTGAAGACCGCAACTGCGCTCTAAACCCTAAACCCTCAACCCTGAAGCCCTACGTTGCGCTCTTAAGTTCAACCGAGGAGCAGAGGCGTGTGCTCACAGCCCTCTGCGAAGAGCAGCTCGGGCGCCTGCTTGGGGATCTTGGACTGTTGGGGGAGTATCTTTAAGGTTTGGTGTTTAGGTCGTTTAGGGTTTAAGGTTTGGGGTTTAAGGTTTTAGGAAGTTAGGGTTTAGGGTTTAAGATTTAGGGTTTAGGGTTTTAGAGTTTAGGGTTCAGGGTTTATAGGGCTTTAGGACTTTAGGGTTTAGGGTAAGGTTTAGGGTGGCTTGCTTTGCCTGGACCTTAAAAAACCTACCTTTCCAAGGACTTCTATACGGAAATCATACTAAGGAGCCCCAAAAACGTACAGTAGTAGTAGGTTCTTCAGGGCCCAGGTGCGGGATCTATAATGGTTTGGGTAGGGTTTAGGGTTTAGGTTCGGATTTTGGAAGACCTATCAAGTCTTCTTTGACGGGGCAGCTTCAAAGGTAGCTTTCAGGGTATTATGGGGCGTATGGGTTCAGGGCGTAGTTAGGTCCGGTTGTATTGAAGTTTTGCATAGTTTTATTCCTTGTTGTCTGCTAGAGTTCCGGCTGTCCCAGAGCTTTGTCTGTGGTTGTATCGTGTAGGTTTGTACACGGATTTAGGAGTTTAAGCTCTCAGAGCAAGGCTGCCCAAAGGAAATTCCAAGAAAACTTTTAGGAGGACTCGGGATAACCGACATAGACAACCGGCATACTTTGTACTATGCCCATGTAGGTACTTAGTAGCCCTAAACCCTGCACCCCTATCGACCCTAAACCCTACGTATTTACCAGTTTCGGTGTTTAGGGGTGTCGGGCTTCGGGTTACCTACTTAAAGGATCATGGGACTTAGTAAGTTAGGTTCCTTGACGGGCTCCTTAAAGGGATCCTTAAGAAATCCTTAAAGGGTTCCTTAAAGGGATCTATAAGGGATCATGGGACTCAGTAAGTTAGGTTATAAGTACCTTAGTTGGGGTTGTAAGTATAGTTACCTTACTTATAACCCTAGCTACTAAGTCCCATGATCCTCTAAGTAGGGCTTTCTGGCTAGAAGGGTCCAGTGCGTCTATCGTCTGGGCAGGTGAATGGGTCTCTAGAGTGCGACAAGATCCACTCGAAGAATCATGGGACGTAGTACGAACATACATAGGTGTTGAGGAACGTTACAGTCTAGGTCCCTTCCTTAGGTTTTTGTAGCCGTAACTCTACTTGAAACCCACGTACTACATAAGTTCTCTGAACCTTCCACTACCCTATACACGTCCCTGTACCTACACAGTATATACTTGACAATTATAGCGCAATCTACCCTAAATCCTAGTCTAAAGTATTGACGCCCCGATATTACTAGGAGACGGCGACAAGGACGAGCGCACCTCGGGCCGGGACAGCAGAAATCGCACGGCTTTCAAGGACTTCTCGATATCCTCCAGGGACACTTAAAGGATCATGGGACTTAGTAAGTTAGGTTATAAGTACCTCAATTGGGGTTATAAGTATAGTTACCTTACTTATAGCCCTAGTTACTAAGTCCCATGATCCTCTAAGCAGGGGTTTATAGCAGGGGTTTCTATACTAGGAATTAGTATTATGATTTGGGGAAGTATCCCCCATAACAGTACTTAGGACCCTTTGGGATAGAGTTTGAGGATTCCGGATTTAGGATTGCAGGGCTTAGGGTTTAAGGACGCAGGGAGCCCTGAACCATGCGTTTTCCAGAGTCGGGAGAGTCCCTATTTACTGGTCATGGGCAGCTTTTCCTCCGCAGGGCCGTCCGTGACATCCTTCTATACCGGCCGCAAGGCCTAAGGATTCATACTATAAGGCTTCTGGGCCAAAGGCCGTACTATACAAGGCTTTTGGGTCATTCTGAGCCGTAGAGTAGAGGTATAATTCACATGCGTCGGGACAGAGAGGAGCTGTACAGTAATATCACAAGGGCGGACCGCGGGGATGGGACAACAAGTACTTAGCATAGACGGCAAATGCGGGGCTCCAAGTTTACATGCAGGATTTGGGGTTTAAAGTCTAGAGTTTAGGGTTTGATGTAGGGGCCTCACAAATTGGAATAGGGTTTTGGGGGTTCCTTACTATAAGTATACAGTGAAAATACTGTATAAGAACCCACTGTTTAAGAACCTGAGCCCCTACCCAAGGCGGAATTCACCAGATTCAAGTTGCCTCAATATTAAGAACCTTAGGGTACCCTAGTTTTCGGGTCAGGTTCTTAATTTTTTGGGTGCTTTCCCTCAAGGAAATTTAGAATCGAAAACTAAATTTCCCAACCCTCCACATCAAGAAATCTTGTGCCATGATTGTATTATCGATGGGCAACAGCAATCATGCCACAGCGCGGTGGTTGTGCATGGGTTCTGGAGGCAAAGGTACGTGTTTCAATCCCCAAGGGTGTCAGAGTTGTAAAATTTAGAATTGAATTCTAAATTTTCTAGGCCTCCTGGAGACTACCGTCTAACGTATACCTAATTAAATAACCCCAATTACGGCGCTTATAACTGTGCTTACTAAGTCCCATGAACCTCCAAGTACTACTTGGGGTGCCCTAAGCCCGGGCTGCAGCTAGCTTGCTTCAAATGCTTTTCACCTTCGTACTGCAGGCACGTCATCTTGAGGATCCTACTCTGCCAACTGCACGCTTGCAATGGGCAGCGTCTGTGTCCTGCAAGCAGCACAGATGCGCACTGTGCCAAGCAGCTCCCCCACAGCACAGTGGTTTGGCATAGGCCTCACAAGGGTTTGGCCTTGTTTCGATCCCCGGGGGTGTCATGCTGCTGCGGGCTGCCGCCCCGCAGCTCGTATTCCACTGAAACAGAGCCCCTTGCCACCAAACTGTGGAAATTTAGAATTGAAATCTAAATTTCCCACCAGCGTCCTGGTCCCTGCCCAAGCCACACCCATGGCCCATCCGCCCACACGGAAATTTAGAATCCAAAAGTAAATTTTCGGGGGGTCTCTGGCCATGCCCTCTGCCCTGAGTCCTTTCGAGGAGCTGTGGAAATTTAGAATTGAGAACTAAATTTTCCAGACCCCCATGGCCCATCCACCCCCACGGAAATTTAGAATCCAAAAGTAAATTTTCGGGGGGTCTCTGGCCATGCCCTCTGCCCTGAGTCCTTTCGAGGAGCTGTGGAAATTTAGAATTGAGAACTAAATTTTCCAGACCCCCATGGCCCATCCACCCCCACGGAAATTTAGAATCCAAAAGTAAATTTTCGGGGGTCTCTGGCCATGCCCTCTGCCCCGAGTCCTTTCGAGGAGCTGTGGAAATTTAGAATTGAAAACTAAATTTTCCAGACCCCCCATGGCCCATCCACCCCAAGAGGAAATTTAGAATCCAAAAGTAAAATTTCCCGAGACCTCGGTCCGGATAAGAACGTGGTTAAGAACCTGAGCCTACCCTAGCTGCTCGAACGGCAAAATCACATGTAATGGAAATTAAGAACCTTAGGGCACCCTACTCTCGCCGAACGGGGTTCTTATACAGGGTTTTCACTGTAGTATACTATACCCCGAAACCCTACTCTAATTGTTAAGGCTCCTACATTACCTACTTTGCCTACATTGGGGTGTGAGGTCTATAGATAGTACCTACTCTGGGCTATTTGGAGCACCGGGGCAGCATCGCAAGATAGTAGTACCGCAACGGAGCACAATGGAACAAAAACTGTCCTTTAACATGTGTTCAGTACTGTTCGCAAGGGTTTGGGGTTTAGGGGTTTAGGGTTTAGGGCACCGTGTCACCACGACTACTGCTTTGCGCCATTCGGATCATCATGTGGACGACTACACCCCGAACTCCGTAAACCCTAACCCACCAAAGGAACCCTTAAAGGGAACCGTACTAACCGCCGTACTATAAACTCCATACGGTGGATGATATAAATCTTGCATGACCCATAACAAGGAATATACCCTGATTCCCATAGTTTAGGGCCCTTAAGGTATTGCAGGATTCATATCATCAGCCGTAGTATCCTTTACCACCGCCTCTGCCAGGACGACGGCGACTTCGACTAGTTCTTAACATTAGGGCGCGGCTTTTAGGAATTAATAGGCTGAAATGTTACTACCATTACCAGATTACTACTACGATTTTGTTTTTTCTACTCCTGTGATTCCAGTTCGTATTATCGAAACTGGGGCCCCTTTTTAAGCCCCAGGGTCCATGTACCTAAATAGCATATAACTATGGACTTTGGCCCCAAAGTACCTATCTAGGGAGTACTTTAAGGCTACATAAAGTATGTATATACTATTTGGGTACATGGACCCGTAGCGTAGGTCCCCCAAATAGTACGGCACCCAAAACAGACCCTAATTTAGAGAACTACCCACTTCAATGTACATGACAACTGTGTTTGTACTGCTGTAGCTGATACAGTCTGCATTAGCTCAATATAGTGGCACTAAGCAATCAAACAGTAGGCACTCCTTCAAAAGAAAAGCAGCTGCCACATACCACTGCTACCGTGCTGCTGTTTGGTATCATTGCACTGGTATGATGGCATGTTGCACAAGGTTGCAACACACAAGGAGGTGCACTGAAAACTGTGCAAACATCATGCCCTGAAACTCTAAACTTCCTAGACCCCTCAACCCCCAAAGCCCTCAAATCCTAAGCCCTTACACAAACTCTTCTGGAGAACCCATATGAAGCCATATGGGAGTTTCCGATAATTAGGGGACCCTAATATAGTAACCTAAATGATAGGATCCTTATTACAAGGACCCCAAAATAAGGTACCCCCAATTTCGGAAACTCCCATCATAAACCCTAAACCCTATAGATCCCTTATAGGAACCCTTACAGGATCCCTTTAAAGGTACCCCATAACTTTTCGGAAGCTCCCATATGAAGCCATCTTTACACAGCAAGAGTGCCAGTCCTCCGACTTGCTATCTTCGGAGTTCATCTCCTGCTTGACCTCATCTAAGGTTGAGGGCTTAGGTGTTTAGGGTTTAGGGGTTTAGGGGTTAGGGATTTAGGGTTTTGTGGGTTTAGGGGTCCGGATCGAGCAGTTTATAGTCAGCTAGCGGTTTTAGATCTAGAAAACAACCCACCCGCCCAAAGAATCCCATAAAATTCAGAAAATATAACGTTTATTATCATTTTTCTCAAAGTCACAATGCCTTAAACCCTAAATCAAACCTTACAGAGCCTTCAGCCTATGCGAAACTCTAAGAAAGCAGCCCTATGGCGGAAACCCTAAGGCTAAGCCGGAAACCCTATGGCCGAAACGTAAGGCAGAAACCCTATGGCCAAAACCCTATGGCCGAACCCCTATGGCGAAAACCCTAAGGCGGGCCTTGCCCACCAAGTTTTGGGCCCAAAATCGTGGGCAAGGCCCGAAAACATCCAGAGATTGGCGTGTGGGCCTTGCCCACGAATCTGGAGGTTTTGGGACTTGCACACGAATCTGCGGAGGCTTTTGGGCCACGAATTTGTGGAGGTTTTTTGGGACTTGCCTACGAATTTCATTCGGAGTATATGGTAGAGAGGTGTAGGGGTTGAGGGGCTTAGGGGTTTAGGGGTTAGAGGTATAGGGGTTTAGGGTTTTGGGGTTTAAGGGTTTAGAGTTTAGGGGTTTAGGGGTTTAGGGGTTTAGGGTTTAGGGTCTAGGGTTTGGGGTGTAGGGTTTAGAGGTTAGGGTTTAGGGGTTTGGGGTTTAGGGCTTTAGGGTTCCGTGGTGGATGGAACTGGAGCTGCAGGCGTGCAGGAGCTGGAGGTTTAGCTTATTAGAAGGCTTCGAATGTGAGGTATAGGGTTTCAGGGGTTCAGGTTTCTCGGATTATCGGGCTTAGTGTGGTCTCACTGAGCGTGCATGACGTTGTTGAGGTCGCACCCAGCACCCAGGCCCAAACGCCCCGCTAAACCCAAGCAGCAAGCCCTGATTTTTCAAGAACCAGCCCCCTTGCTCCATAACATGGGTGGTTGTCAGAATGATGGCCCCTTTTTGGGTACCCTAAATATAAGGTGCCGTATTACAATAAGGACCCAAAAAGGGGCCCTAATTTCAACCACCCACATGGGGCCTCGCTTCGAATTCAACCACGAACCCGAAAGCTCCGAACCCGCATGGCGCCCATAAATTCGAGCTCAAAAATTCCCCCAGCACATGTCCTAACCCTACGGCTCCAAGTATAGAAATAGTACCTATTTGGAAATCTAATGTCTACAAATAGCTTCTTCGGCTAGGTAGCCCCAACGACGGCGCAGTGAAGCGCATTCCAACCGCCCCCGCCGGTGCTTTTGACCTGACGCCGAAAACTTGAGGCTTACTGGTTCAGTATGCCCAAGACATTCTCTGTCCTTTGGAAGTCGTTTTCTCGAGGTTTGGGATGTTCTTCAGAGCTTCCGGCAATTCAGGCTCCTTCTTGGGCGTGCCGTCCACAGTGCTTTTGGTATTCCTCTTATCTTACCTTTGGTTAGTAGGGAGTGGAGGAATGGGTACAACTATAGCTACAATTACTACCATTCTTCCATGCCCTACTAACCAAAGGTGAGTCACCGTTTAGGCTTATGGGCGGAGTCTGAACGGAGCGCATCCGAAGCAAATTGAAGGGTGGAGAGGTTGGGGAGGGTTTGGGTTCATAAGCAGGGCGAAACCCGACAACTACCACTGAGCAAAGTCAAGTGTTCCTCTGCAGAAAAGAACATCAAGAAGCCGACCACAACAATAATGATCTAGAACTCAAGATATTTCGGACATCCAAACCCTAAACCCTAAACCCTTCCACCAAACTCAAAAGCCCTGATACTAGACGTTCGACAAGACTGCAGAATTTGTTGCTACAGCTGTGTCAACCGTCGCCACGATGATGCGACCACCGAAAACCACCATCACATCTGCAAGATTTCTACACAACCCTGCTATCATCACTTTATTTTGTCAACTTACGACCCTAAGCCCTAAACCCTGGAACTAACAATGTATCTTGTCAAAAATACTACCCCAAACACTAAACCCATGTACCCTCACTATGCTCTGCCAAGTGGCAGCTAGAGGATCACGGGACCTGGTAAGTAAGATTACAGATACCCTATTGGGGCTACAGGTAATTATGAGTATAAGTATAGTTACCTTAATTTAACCAGAACCCTGGATACTAGGTTCCATCATCCATTACGCATTTCAATATAAGTATGACTAAAAAAAGAAATGTTAAACCTGAGTTACTAAGTCCCATGATTCATCAGGGGCTTTATGACCACTTCAAACGAAGAGTTTTTTCTAGCCCTCGCGACTTCTTCCTGAGGGTTTCGGGTTTAGGGTTCATGGCACTTAGTAGCTCTCTGCTAGGGTTCCTGAATACTTAGTACCTCAATTTCAGGTACTGCGTAGGCTCCGCACATCTTCCGTCTTCTTCAACAGCCGGGCCCAACAAAATTCAAACCTTCAAAGAGAGAGCTAGTATATAAGGCCAAAAAATTTAAAGTTCCCCCGTTCACTATCTAAGTCTTACATCCTAAACGCGAAACACGAACTCTGAGCCCAGAGGCATTGCAGCCAGCATCGAGCAAGGCCGACATAAGCTCGAGGTCCCCTCTGTAGGATGCCGCCCTCAGGTGATACGGCTGGGTTCCCTTTAAAGGGATCCTTTAAGAATACTTTTTTTTGGGGGGTCCCTTTAAAGGGATCTATAGGGGGTCAGGGTTTAGGATATAAATCCTGCACTACCTTATTATGTGTTACGCCTACGCAGGATTTATATCATCAACCGTATGAGGGTTTCCCCCCGGGTTCTTAGTAGGGAAACTATCATGTGGATCCATTCCCCCAGTCCCGACTAAGAATCAAGGAGTTCTAGAGGGTTTGAGAAGGGGTTCATGGAGATTCTTTGGTTGTTTACTGCCTGCCTAAAGGCAGGGTTGTAGTGAATGGGTGTGTTATGTCTAGACAACGCGCCCGAATAGGGAATTGGGAGTTCAAAGGCTTAGGTATTTGGCACTTTGGGGCCTCTCGGCTGTGGAGTCGAAGATTGTTAAGTGCAGGTGTTTCAAATCAAGACCCTATGCCTCCAAAAACCTTATTATGGTGTCCTTAATGGGTCTAGGGTCCTAACTATGACGTCCTTGGAGGGATAGTGAGAGTACATCGTGATCATCGTGATCATCGTCATCATCATCGTCGTCAACATCATCAGAGCTCCCAAACATCACTGCATTGAAACTCATTGCGCTGAACGTGTGGCAAACGCACTTGTCGACTCGTGTTTGGGGTTTCTTGCCGCCATGGAAGTCCCAGAGGGTCCAAGTACCCAAGTAGTAGGGCTTTAAGCCCAAAATCCATACTCTGAATGGATTTTGGACCTTGAAACCCTATACTATTAGGGTACTTGGACCCTTAGGGAGTGTGTAAGGAAAAGAAACCCTAAGCTCTAACGCCGCAAAGCACCCTAAACCCTAAACCCAAACCCATTATATACCCCTAAAGCCTATCCCTAAGGGTCCAAGTACCTAATAATCATATACTCGCCAAAATCCTAACCTTCCTCTTGGGTACAGAACCCGTTTAGGGATTACGGTTTCGTTGAATATAGAAGCCGTTTAGGGATTACGATTTCGGGTTTCGGGTGTAGGGTTCATCTGCAAGTTTCTTGTCAAACCCCCTCTGAACTCCAATACAGATGGATTTGAACTCCTCATACAGCCCTTGCACATCCCTGCACAGGCCGAAAGGCACCCCTGCGCAGCGGCTTTTGCAGGCTCCCAACCCGAAGCCAGTCAAACCTCCTCAAGAAGAAAGGATGAATCTTATCTTCAAGCCAGATGCCCGGCCCAATATCATTGGAGGATTTCGGGGGGTTTTGGGGTCCTTTGCAAGTGGCGTCACAACGGTCCAAAGCCTAACTGTTTTCAGGACCTTAAATCGTGCACCCTGCGCTCTGAACCTCACCTCAACCCACCGAAGCCATTGTAGAACGCATAAGCAGAACCCTTATACAACCAAGAAAATATGGGTGGCTGTCAAAATGATGGTCTTTTTTTGGGTCCTTAATATGAGACGGCACCTCATATTTAGGTTTCCCGAAACAGGGACCATAATTTTGTGACAACTACCCATATATTTAGAACCCTAAGCCACTCAACCGCGACAGTGTCAGACAAGCATCATAAAGGCTGTCGCGCCCGGGTGATCTGGGCGGCAAGTGGACAACATCCCGTTTAGAGGATCATGGGACTTACTAACTTGGGGTTATAAGCTATAAGCAAGGCAGCTATACTTATACACTACTTATACCCCCCAATTACGGTACTTAAAACCTTACTTACAACTATACTTGTAATAGCTACTTATAACCCCAAGTACGGTACTTATAGCCTGAATTACCAAGTCGAATGATCCTTCAAGTGCCGCAAGCATATATCGGAGGCTGTCCGGGGTTTATATACGTCATTCTAAGGCTCTACAGACTCACATTCAAAGGCTTTTGGGCAATTCTGTGCCTTCGGGTGTGGCTTCGTCGCGTGTTATAGGCTTGAATCTGCTTGAACGAGATTATTATCATGATGCACTTGAGTTCAAACAGCGTCAAGATACTCCATGCAATGCGGGATTCCTGCGAATTGTTTCCATCAACATTGTTCAGTGGTTTTGGCTGCAGCTACGCAAGCAGCAAGGTGGGATTTGGACTCAACTTTCCTTTTTTTGGAAATGAACGGATCAGACTTTCCCTTTTCGGTCTTGCCAAGCACTCGCAAATTCGATCTTGATCCGGAACAAAAAGTCAGACCCTGGGCCCTAACCCTAAAGCCTGAATCCTAAACGTAACTTCGAAACCTTCACCTTCCAGCACCTCGCAAGAGGCAAGCGTTAACACCACGCCAAACCCCCCCCTCAAAAAAAACGAAATCCCCTACACTGTACATGTTGTTCGTGTTGCTGGGGGGACTGCAAGCGATAATCAAGTAGTCGTGAAAAAAAACCAAGAGTTAAAACAATAAACAGCAATCACACAGACTGTCATGGTATCAACATGCGTATACTTACAGCTACACTACACGACACTACCTTACATTTATACATACATACATACATACATACATACATGCATACACACACAAAGACACAGGAATGATAGGAATACACATCGAAATAGAAGTACAGGTACATAAATAGTTAGGTGCACATGTGTATATAGCCAAATAACTAGCTACATCTTTTTTTGATATGTATATATATATATACACACATATACACATGCATGTACAGGAAAATCAAACGGTAGATACACATATATATATATATATATACATATCATATATACATGAATACATATATACAGTATATACATATATATATATATATATGTATGTAAATATGTGTGTGTATGTATGTAAGCAGGTCCAGATGCAGAGTCCAAGAGTGGAAAGGCCCTCGCCGTGTTGTTACCTCCATAAGCCCTCAACTTCGCCCGAAAGCCTTGGGCTCTACCTGGCGATCCAACGCCTACTGTTTCAGGGGGCCTTACAACCCTAAATCCTAAACCCCTAAACCCTAAACCCCTAAACCCTAACCCTGAAACGAACGGGTCGTGACCTACTATTTTGTTTCAGGGGTCTTACCCTATCCCTAAGGCTCAAACTGGCCAAAAGGTCTTACATCGTATGGTCGTTGGGCCCAAAAGCCTTAAGATACGAGTCCTTAGAGCCTACGGGTAAAACTAACTGATCGTGACCGACTATTTCGCAGGGTTTGGGAATACAGTATGACCTAGATCTCAGACCCCTACTTCACCCCCAAGGCGCTGAGACTCCTGGAAAACTCCAGGCCTAGGCAACTCCCGAACCCTGGACATCCTGAAAAGTAGTTCCTTTTTGGCGATCATATGTAGAATCGTCTGGGTAAGGCTTTGAAACTAAAGAGCTCTAAGCGCTCAAACCCCGAACCCCTTAGAGAAAGCTAGACCAAAAAGATCTCTATCCTCAACGAAAATCTCGACGGAATCCTGAAGCCTAAACCCTAAACCCCTATAAGCCCTAAAGCCCTAAGCCAAAGCCCTAAAGTCTAAACCCCAAAGCCCTGAAGCCCTAAACGCTGCCCGGAAGGCCCTCATGGCCGGAAATATGGTCGAAGTTGGGGCCCAAAGCTGCGAGCTCCTGCAGTGAACTCTTTGAGACGCAAGCTTAGGGTTTAAGGTTTAGGGGTTAAGGGTTAGGGTTTAGGGGTTAGGGTTTAGGGTTTGGGGTTTGGGGTTTGGGGTTTAGGGTTTAGGGTTCAACGCCACCAGAAACCCAGAATCAGAGGACTCTAGGGTTTATAGGGCGTAGGGCTTCGGTTTGAAGGTTCGGGATTCAGGGTAGTTCTTTAACGGAGGCGTTTAGGGTTGATGTGGGTGTGTAATGATATGGAGTCTGAGGCACTCCCAAACCACATAATTAATGTGTCTTGGACTAGCCTTGAAACATAACGTAGTTGTAAGAGTCTATCCACAATTCAATGTCTACCGTTGCAAACTCGCCTCTGGGTAAGTCATTGCCCAGCAGATCCCAAGCATGTAGCTGCCTGACTTGGAGGGATACCTACTTAAGCTCGAAATTTCAACTCGTCAGAAGAATAAGGGTCCATGCACCATGAAGTACACATGTTGGCCTTATGGTACCTATACCTGGACTACATCAAGGCCGGTGCATATACTACATGAGCACAGGAACCCGTAATTAAAAGTGTAAGAAATCAAAGGGTCCTATGTACCTATATGGTAGACTGCAGGGCTTTTATAGTAGGAATTGCTGCTATGATTTGGGGAAGTATCCCCCTAACAGTATTCAGGACCCTTTGGGGAACAACAGCTAGCAACCGGTTGTAGGTCTTGGGGACAAGTCCGGACCTTCACACCAGGGAAGCCCAAGCATTCAAAAACGTGGGTTACACAACCCCTACATCACATTCTGCCTTTTTTAACAAATAAGATTCAGATTCACAGAATTAACACCACTGTTCGTGTGAGATGTATATTCATTAGTTTTTCAAGCCATCAACAAGTATTTGGCTAAGTACTTTGTATTTGCAATTCTGAAGTTTGCCCACGTTTGCCTCATTTGGTCTTACACAAACACTGCGACAAAACAACGGCAGCGAGGTTGGAATCGCACTGATGGAGACGCAAATGCCCTGCCTCGCGAGCACAGCAGTCTGTGCCTCTTTGATTTGATGGAAGAACCCCTGTCTTCAGCACTGTTGGGGGAACTAGGGGGGGAGTTGGGGTGGACAAAACACAAGGGGAACAGCACCTATGTATAGGTAATTACATACATACCTACCTACATTGATGCATAGATACGTTCATAAACATACATATAAGAAAACGTGTCTATACACACACACATATTCGGCATGACTATGATTATGCTGAGCATGCATACTTTCTACCATTACATGGCCTATTTACGAAGAGGGACACCCTTTCAACAGAGCGCCCCGTCCTTGATGCCATCTGCATCGGCATAGAACACAGCGGTGCGGCCTGCGAGACTAGAAAATCTCGGTGCTAAGCTTGATTCGTCGTATCTGGGTAGTTCATCTATAAAGGTTTTCCTTTTTAGGGTTACTGTAAAGGTACTGTAAGAGTTCTATATGGGTAGTTCTCTAAGCGAAGGTCAATTGGAGGGCTCGTTACAGGCATCTTTAAGGGTTTTTATAGTTACTGCATGGATTGTATATGGGTAATTCCGTAAAATTAGGGTGCCGTACCATTTTGGGGACCAAAAAAAAGGGACCCGAAAATAGAGACCTTGCCATGTGAAAAAACACGAAACACGTCAACGGTGTCGTCAAATACAATAAATCACCATCATAGGGCTTTCAGGGTTAGGTTATAATGTAGTTATACGGAGGAACTGCGAAGACTACTGTAAGATTGTCAATTACATCTTCTCCTTCGCGAGCGATTCTTCCGTCTGCTCCGGTATATCCATGAATGACCATGTCCTCATTATTCCAATTCCGACCCAGCTCAGCCACAGGTCCCCATTCGTCCTTCACGCTCTTGGTGAATGCTGTGCGCAGTGGACGGCTTTCAGCTTCCCTGACAACTCAGGAACAGCCTGACCATCCCTAAACACTAAAGCCTGGTACCCTAAACCCTAAATCCCTGAACCCTAAACCCAGGTAAACCCTAGAGCCTGGTACGGGGTACGGCCCCCACTCAGCAATAGTTGAATAATACTCATAATATAGATACATTAGGACCTTAATAGTAGCCCCATTATAGACTCTTACTGCAAGGGGGCAGTACCTAACCTACCTTTTTAAGGACTCATAAAAGGAAACCTTATTAAGGAACCCTAAAAAGGTAGACTCTTACTGTATGGGGGCAGTACCTAATCTGTAGGCGCGTTCCCAAAAATTTTGCCGGCGCGACTTCTCAGAACCCTGGGCTCCCCCGGTCACATGGGTACGTGAGGCCACACATCCCCTGTAGGGTTCCTTTAAAGGGATCTATAAAGGTTTAGGGTTTAAGGGTTTTAGGGTTTAGGGTTTAGGGAATCTATAAAGGTTTAGGGTTTAAGGGTTTTAGGGTTTAGGGTTTAGGGATCTAGGATGCCCAGTAACCTGGGATTAAAAAAAGGGCTCCCTGTTTGGTATAGGGTAACTGTATAAGGAACCTAGGACTACAACAAGGGAATAAGGGTACTACTGGGCATCCGAGCCTACAACTTATGGTACCCCTAAATAGTAGTATCCTCATCAAAACGACCCCAAAATCAGGTAATTACCCCCAATTTCGGAAACTCCCATATGGTTAGTAACCTACAACTTAGGCAACTGGAGCACGAGGGGAAGCCATGAACTGCGACCCTCAAGGTTGTCACTCTGCCTGCAGCGTCGGTGCTTTCCAAGCCAAACAGCTTTTCGTTTATCTCCTGGCGCATTGTGGAGACATCTAGGTGACAGGGGTTAGTAAGCAAGCATTTAAAAGCCTGACTTTTTTCTTGCGTATCAGTATGAATAAAATAAACAAACGAACAAATAGGTATATATGTATATACATACATATATGTATATATACTGCTTGTTAAATAGGAACATATCGCAAAACCCTGTTCCAACCCCTCAGGCCTTGTATCCCAGAAGTTACATACTGGCTCCTTGCTTGAGTTGTTCAATTCTGGGTTAGGAAAATCTACCCAAAGGCCCCAAAGTAGTTCCTTTTGGGGGTTCATATATAGAATCCTGTAAAGTAATCCCAAAAAAGAATTACTTTGGGGCCTATGGGTAGTTTCTACTGCTGTTAGGGTCTCGAGTTTCTATGCAGTCTACGGCTAGGGTTCTTCTTGCTTTTAACTCCTTCTTCCACTTCCTTCGAGTCACCCCTACCCTGCGGGTTTTGGGGATTAGGGGGCTTATGCTTCGGGGTTTCCGGGCTTTGGGCTTGGGGCTTGTTGCCAGAGTTGTACTCATGAATCGCGTCGCCCTTGCTGTGACCCAGCCTCAGGCATGCATGCCTGATGCGGGTCGTGACTGATAGGTAGGCATTGATTTTACATGACTGAAAGGCTCCTACATACCTGTATGGTAGAATGTGGGGTTTCTTTAAGTTAGGAATTACTATCATGATTTGGGGAGGTATCCTCCATAGCAGTACCTAGGACCCTTTGGGTGAGGGTCTCCTCCTTCGAGGCTTTTGCGAGGATGCTCCTGTTAAAGTTTGCACCTAAGGGGGGGAATCTCCACATATAGCCAGCTCCACGTCTGTCTCTAACTTCGGGATGTATAAACAACCCCACATCAAACGTGTTGCTCGCATCAACTCAGTTGTTCAGGATTTAGGAAGAACCCCAGAATAGCCTAGACCCTTCTCCTAATTCCTAAGCCCATCACCCTGCAAACCCTAAAGGCCAAAGCTCAAAAAACCCAACTCTAAACCCCTAACCCCCAAACCCCTAAACCCTAAAACCCAAAACTCAAAAACCCAACTCCGTAAAAACAGACGGGTGTTCTCCTCAAGGGTGATCTGGCCCTTCTCAATCTCCGAGTGAAGCCACCTAACAATCTTGGTTTACTATCTGGTTCTAACTTCGCGCTCGGAATTTCCTGCGGGGGACTGGCGCCCGAGGTTTTGGCTCCGGGTGGTTCTAACTTGCCGTCCGGGAGTGTAAGGTTTAAGGCTTAGGACGGAAAGCTAAGATTACCAACAACTTCGGGTTAAGGTTTAGGTTTTAAGGCTAAGAGTACCAGCAATCTCGGTTTAAGGTTTAGGGCTTAAGGCTAACAATCTTGCCAACATGTTATCGGAAAAACTTCCCCAGTTCGTACTAGCAACTCCTAATATGAAACCCTGCATTCTACTGTCTATGTATTTTGGTGACCCTTTGGGCTTAGTTTAAGGCTCCAGGTTTAGGGCTCAATGCTAAGATCACCAGCAGTCTTCCCCTCGGGGTGTGGGGCACAATAGACCCTGGACCCCAATGCCTAAACCAACGCTATGGCTATCATAAGAGCTTCAACCCACGATGCTTGTTCTCGGGACAGGAGCCTTAATGCCTAGAGTTTTTTGGGAGACCGAATGAGTATGTACTGGAGTATGTACTGGTATAATTACTGTTCAGTGAACCCTATGTACGTAGTATGCCAGCACGCTTAACCTTGTAACTGCTATACAAATGAATGCACCTATGTGGCTTGGCTCTGCAGCAACGCATCTTCCCAGCAGGCTTTAGTAACTTTCAGCCCTATACCGTTTTGAGTTTTAACTCTCCCAGCCCGAAGCCTCTTAAATGCTTCACCTCCCGTCCTCAACCCTCACACCCCTCCAACCCCAGCCTAGAAGCCCCCTGGACCCATAACACAAGTTCTTACATTCAATGAATCCTGATTCCTATAAGGACCTCCGCAATCCCCGACGCAACACTACCACTTTCGAGGAGGCACTGCCGCGCAGCGGCGAAGGGCATTGCGAACTGGCACTTCCGCGGGCGGCACTCTGATTGCAAAAAGCGCCTTGATTGGCAGCCAGGTTCAGTCCGGGATTTGCCGGCCTTCGTTTTCAGATTTCATGATGGCTTCGATGAGTTTGTAAGTGGAGTCTCGTGCATGCCACGGTGGATGATTACTGCGTGTGTTGTACTATAAGTCGTTATCAAGGGGAAGGACTTGTTGTGCAGTGTATCTCAAAACCCGAAAACTCCAGACCTTACTGTAAGGGCCCAGGTATACTTTGCAGTCGAAGACCTGTCGAGCTTGGCACGTATAGAAACCTCTCTCTATGCCAAGCCGACGACACGAAATTCGAAGGCCCTGCCACCAGTGCCCAATTCACGCTGTGAGCAGGGGTGCCGCTTTTCGGTTGTGTTGAGGGTAATGCTTGGGGCCTCTATTGCTTGGAGGGTCGGGGGAATTAGTAAGTAGATAGTAAGTAGACTTATAAGTACCCTAAAAGGGGCCCTAATTGGGGTTATGGTACTTATAAGTCCCTAAAAAACCAGTTAGTAAGTCCCCCGACCCTCCAAGTGCTTCCTCGTGCAGACCTGATGTTACGCCCATGCTTACTAGTCTACCCGCCATACGTAAGACTTCGGCATTTGGTCGACCCTACTTGTCGGGTATCATTTGGAGCTAAAAGTTAACCTTTTTGGTTGAGGGGTTATATAGGGACTATACTACCCGAAAAAGGTTAAAGGTTGCCTACTCTACTACTAGGACTCGAATAGGAACAAGGAACTGTAAGGAATAGTGCGGGCAATTATTCCGGCTAGACCCCGAAAAAGGTTAAAGGTTACCTACTCTACTACTAGGTTCCAAAACTCTAACCCTAAACCCAAAACAGCAGCTAAGAAAGGTTAAAGGTTACCTACTCTACTACTCGGCGACATTCTTCCACCTCAGCCCGCGTCATCGGGTTCAGGGCTGTGGGTCCCTAAACCCGAAACCCCATAAACCCTAAACCCCAAACCCCAGAACTCTAAAGGTACTTAGAACCCTTGACCCTTACAAACCCTAAACTAAACCCCATAAACCCTAAACTAAACCCTAAAACCTAGCTTAGCTTGTCCTTGTTTAAGATTGTTGTCTCTGCTTCTTGGCTGGATGGGGCCCAGGCAAAGAATCAAACACATCTTATTTGGGAGTTTCCGAAAATTATGGGTACCTTGTTGGAATCCTTATACTCAGGATCTTACTATTGAGGGTGCTATATTGGGGTCCCCGATTTTCGGAACCCCCCATTTGTGGCCTCAGAAAATCAAGGAACCCTTCTTTGCGGTTCGTTCGCTCAGGATTCTTTATTATCTCCGCTTATCTCAGGAACCTCCCGCTTCTTGCAGCCAACGGCACAGCAAACTTGGATCCAAGCCTCTTGCGAAACGGCGTATGGCTTCCTCCCGACCAGTTGTAGTTTTATGGGCTATTATAACTATATACAGGCATGTTGGGGTCTAGCGAAGTGAAAGCCATAAGGGTATATCAATCAGACACCTTTACTCTACTGTCGGGTGCTTAGTAGGGAATGGGGGAATGAACTATGGAGACTATTATTGAGGATTATATAGGGACTACTATAGGAGTCCATTCCCGCATCGCCTAAGAAGCACCAGACAGATTAGTGCTATTGGGTGACAGTGTGGAGGTTGGGGGCCTAGCACGACACAAGGCAGCGGACCTCAGCGATGGATTTTGAAGACAATGGATAATGCACCTCAAGGGCCCTGAGTAAGTTCTAAACCTCAAAATTGAAGCCATGCAATACAGAGGCCTCAAGTTCTAATAGAATAGCAAGCAACTCAGAGGGGCCCTCAAAAAACAGGAAGCTTGCCTTCACGCCTCTAGAATGTCAACTTCCTGTCTGATGCCAGTGGAGGCCTTTGCGACCCTAAGGGTCCCTATGCTTATAAGGCTTCTTCAAGGTTTAGGGTTTTGGGTTTAGGGTTAAGGTTTCACGGGGGGTTTAGTCGCCATCATTGCCCCACACATGGCACTGAACAAGAACCAAAAGACGTAGATACTGGCTCCTTTGGACGTCTGGGGTTTGTATATGACTTTACTGTCGCTCTCCTCATTATCTGCAGATGGTATAACATTAACATGACTGTTAGGTGCAGTCCCGGGGCATCCAAGCGGACGGTGTAGCTACAATTAAGGCCGAGAGGATGGTAAATAAACGGGCTTCTGGCAAACACACACATCCATGTCGCATCCGCTCTCGCTTACGATAGGTTTCTAGGATGCCCAGTAACCTAGGACTACAAACGGGGCTCCTTTTTGGCATTGTATGGGTGGTTGTCAAAATCATGGTCCCAAAAATACTATTTAGGGTACCCCAAAAGGGACCCTAATTTTGACAACTAGTTGTATAAGGAACCTAGGACTACAACAAGGGAATAATAAGGGCATTACTAGGAATCCTAGGTTTGGTTTAGGGCCCCGGATAACACGAAAACAGGTTCAGGGCTTCAACGTAGGGTTTAGTGGTTGAGTGGTTTAGGGGCTAGGGTTTAGGGGGTTTTGCTTCTAGGGTTTAGGGCTTATAGGGTTTCGGACCTAGCGTTAGGTCGGGGCTCTATTGCAGCAAATCTCAACTAAGCGTCGATGTCAACAGTCCCTAAATTCACTTATAATTAGGGCTCTAATACTATATAATTAAGGCCATTATACGTTATCCCAAATCGATGCCCAGCAGTATGAATGGCTCCCGGCCACTTCCTGCCTCTGTTCCTGCAGCTCTGTCAGACCCAATAAAGGCGTTTTGCTGGTCAGGTCGCGCAGGGCCGCATGAAGTCCTGAAGTCCTCTAGATACAGACGGGGCACCGGGACCGGTGAGCGCGCGACGTGCTCCAACTTACTTACACAGACTGCAAGCAAGCGACACCAGTTGCCGAGACATTCTCAACACAACATGAAAGCAGCAAAAACATCCTTATTGGAGTGCATGGCCTCCAGATCCAAGGCAGTTGCACGGTGATGAGAAACCATGAAGCTTGTTCATTCATTGCGGCATGGATCAGAGCCTCTGTGCGCGCGTCCACGTGCCGGGCCCGTTGGACGCTTTTGAGTCCTTTGAGTGCAGCAGAAAGACATCTCCATCCTCCGAGCGGAGACCTAAATTCACATGGGTTGGCTTTCATCTGGGCCACGTACTTGCATCGCGGCTCTTGGTAAGCCCTACTAAACCGCCCTAAACCCTAAACTCCAAACCCTAAACCGAAAACCCTTCTAAACCCCAAACTCCGAGTCAGACTCTGACCCCTCCCTATGTAAACCCTACAGTTAGGGGCCTTAGTCACATCAGTTTGTACCAGCAACTACTGGGCAGATGTGATGGGGTCACATCATGGTCACATCACCCAGGTGCTTACTAGCAGGAAAGGACATATAGAGTGTCAAAAAAAATCGAGACAAGTACTGCGGAAATTGTGTAAAACACCACACCTACAAGGGATTTCGAATGCCGCGCGCAGGCGCACGAGACTTGAGGCAAACCATTTCTTTGTCTTACGAAGACTTCAGGAAAACCAACCGTTCCCCATGTAGTGTAGACGCCCGTTTTCAGAAGCACCCGCGCAACAGAAGCAGCCGTAGAATCACAGCACGTCAAAATCAGCCATTCCCCCAACTGCACGCTCGATTTCCGCAGCACCCGCTCAAGACACACATCATTGGCATCACAGCGCAACCAGCCATTCCTCATGCACACACTCGATTTCAGAAGCACCCACTCACGACAGAAATGCAGCTGTCTCACGAAGGCTTGAGGAAAACCAGCCGTTCCCCATGTGGATGCGCGTTTTCAGAAGCACCCGGTCAACACAAACAGCCGTAGAATCACAGCACTTCAAAACCTGCCATTCCCCAACTACACGCTCGATTTCCGAAGCACCCGCTCAAGACATCATTGGCCGCAACCAGCCATTCCCCATGCACACGCTCGATTTCATAGGCACGCACTAGAAACTGAGCAGAGAAAAGTTTTGAAGCACTAGTTGAATGGACATGAGTACGTGCGGAAAAGCCACGTTTCGAGCGTTCGCTATGTAAGCAGCTACTCTAACTCTATACTTCTTTTCAAAACCCTACGTGCATTCACCACCCGGTTGAAGCCCAAACCCGCGTGCCGAGTGTTAACTTCTACATTATGGCTCAAGATGTTCGTTTGGTGGGGGGCAGGGCACCTACTCTCAAGAGGCGGCCATCTTTTTACTTGCCTGCCCCTGACTTTTTGACATCCGCAAGAGAGATGAAGCGCTGCTTCTATTCTTTCTTCCAGAATGAATACCAAGCCTTCCTTGCCTTAGCCATTGAGAAGTCTCCCTTGTCCCAGCTCGTGTTCCGAAAGTGGCTGGCCAAACTGGAGGTTTTGGGTTTACCAGAAACGATCCACGACAAAAAAAGTTCCAGAAGACCCTCAAACTCGGGGATGCTGCCATCCAGGGCTTGCAGATCTTTCGCAAGGAATACTTCAGTGATCAAATCGGTGATGCCTTTGGCTGAGTTCACGTCAAAGACCAGGTCGGTTTCGCTGGTGCTGCCCTTCCAACACGGGCTACCCTGACAGCTACTCCAACAAGCCTGAAGCCCAAAACAGCAGTAACAGTGCCAGCGAGTCAAACGCACGACACCACCTTCGGCTCAAGTTCCGAATTCGACAGGGTGGTGATTGCATGTTTGCTTCGGCAGTGCTCCTGTTGCTGGTGCCTGTGCCTGTATCGGCTGCGCGCATGCGTCAGCAAACGCACTCCTATTATCTGCTGTTTTGCACTATCTTCACCCTCAAAATATCAACAAACCTGCCGTTGCATATTGTTGCTGCAGCCGCGACTCCTGGGACAAAGATCTGTTCTGAGTTGCATCGCCAGGCGGCCCGCAGTCGTGTCGATTCCCCACGTCTCGCATTCCACATACAGTTTGCGGAGGGTCGGGGGACTTAGTAAGTAGGTAGTAAGTAGACTTATAAGTACCCTAAAAGGGGGCCCTAGTTGGGGTTATGGTACTTATAAGTCCCTAAAATAACCAGTTACTAAGTCCCTCGACCCTCCAAGTAGTGGCAAGCGCAATATTTGCGCTTCGCTTAAGCGCGCCTTCGGTGCCATGGGGGCCACCTACCAGATACCCCGAGCATCCCCGAGCTATACTAACTGTAGTCTGTCTAAAGCAAACCGGGCACGACTTAAGCAGGTTCCTGTAAGGTTCAAAGACGAAGTTTTTCCTAACATAAGGTGTTTAGGATTGCAATTAGGGGGTTGAAGATATCGGTTGATGTCACGTCCAAAGTCAAAATGGCTTCCCAGGCACGAATTATAGCAAACACCAAGTACTTGCATGGATTCAAAAAGAGTTGATGCTACCCTCCCCGGACCCTTTCACCCAACTACTTGGATCGCATGAAATCGATGCGACTAAGGACGCTGACTGCAAACCCCATAAACGCTAAACCCTAAGGTTTAGTGAACCCCAGACTCTGAGCCCTAAACCCCAAAACAAAGATCTGAGCCCCAAACCCAAAACCCTAAGCCCTAGTTTCCACCCTTTCTCTGAGCCCTAAACCCCAGACCAAAGGGTCCAAGTAATGGTATTGTACATACTTTTGGGGGCCAAATACCTGTTAAGTGCATACAATAATGGTAATTGGACAGTTCGGGTCCCTAAACCCTAAACCCCCAACCCTGAACCCCAAACCCTAAACCCTAAGCCCTGAACCCTAAACCCCTAAACCCCTGAACCCTAAACCCCCTAAACCGTGAACAAAGAGATCCTAGAACAAAGGGACATGCACTGCCTTGGCGCCGACATAGAGCGCGACACCGACCGGCCTGAACGGAGACCTCGGCATCGGGAGCAGAGGGATGTCTAGCGTAGTAGTACTATTTCTATGACTATCATTATCATTATGTTTTAATATTATTGTTACTATTACAATTACTATTACTATTGTTATCACTATTGCTAATCATATTACTATGTCTATTACCATTATTACTATTTGCGTCAGTATTACTATTGTGAGATATTTATATGTATATACATACACATAATGTGTGTGTGTATATATATATATATATTTTTTTATTTATTCATTATCAGCGTTCCCCACGTAATCCTTGCCCTGTAATATTGAACCGATCCTCCCCTCTCTCCACCTCCCCTCCCGAGTATGACATTTGATGTCGGGGGCTTAGTTCTTAGATCAGGGGGGTTTCGGGGCTTGACAGCAATAATAAGCCCTAGAAAAGCCCTAAAGCCCTAAACCATAAAGCTCTGGTCCTTTCGATTTAGTACAGCTGTAGTCTTGGCTCTACTGAAACTTATCTAATGCTTGTAATTAACTTTCAATTGTGGACCCGAAACCGCGAATTTCCGGGGGCCGTTGTTTTAATATTAGGGGGTTAGTGTTAGTGTAAGGGATTACTGAAACTGCTAGGATACCCAGTAACCTAAGAATAAAAGGGCCTCTCTTTTTGGTATTGGGTAACATTATAAGGAACCTAGGACTACAAAAAGGGAATAAGGGTACTACTGGGCATCCTAGACCTGGAGTGAACTCACGTTATAGTCACTCAGACAGAAGGCCCAGGAGGAGTCCCGAAACCCCCATAGATCCCTTTAAAGGAACCCTTGCAGAGATTCTTTTTTGGGGATTACCTTCTAGAATTCTACACATGAACCCCAAAAAGGAACTACTTTGGGGCCTTTGGGTAAACCCTACCTTAAACTACCAAACCGTACTTTTTTGTAGGTTCTTATTATAAACCCTAATATGGAATTTATAGGGATCCTGCAAAAAAGTAGGTTTTGGTAGGTTAAGGTAGGATGCCGAGTAACCTGGGAATAAAAAGGGTACTGTAAGGGATTGTTTGAGGGATCTATTAGGGGCTTAGGGTTTAGGGACCCCAGAGTAACCCAGGAATAAAAAGGGCTCGCTTTTTGGTATCTGGTAACTTTATAAGGAACCTGGGACAACAAAAAGGGAATAAGGGTACTACTGGGCATCCTAGATGTAAGGTAGGCGCCTTTTGAACTAGAATCGGGCTTCTTTTGCGGTTCCTTCAAGTTCAAAGTTTTACTACAGGGGAGTTATAGCTATAGTTACCCTAATTATTTATAACCCCAATTACTAAGTCCCATGATCCTCCAAGTACAGAAACCTTCTTTAACATCTAAAGCCCAAAGGGCCTATGCTTTGGGGTTATGCGATTGTTATGGCGAGACTCTTTGCGCGGACTCCAGTTTCAACTTTCTCGGCCCGACATTCGAACAACCCAACACAAAATGAACCTACCCTACTCTTGGTAAAAGTAGAGGTTAGGCAAAAAACAAGTGCAAACAAAAGGGCCAAAAGAATTGGGTCCCCTAAAGCAGGTCCTAAGCCCGCAACTATAAGCCGAAGCCAGTCCTCAAATCTTGAACCTCCACCCCCTAAAGTCGGAAACCCCCACAATCCCTAAGCCCTACACATCGAAACCCTAAACCAAAACGGGCTTTAGGGTTTAGGGGGTTTACTTACTACCCAATAAGCCACAAAATTGAAAGGCTAAACTTTCCGATTCCTACTAAACTACAAGAACCCAAAAAGGTTAAAGGCTGGGTATTGGGGATCTAAGTTTAGGGATCTTTCAGTTGCTGCCAAAGGTACCCGTGATGAATGTGCATGTGCTTCGCGGCGGACCTCTTGTCTGTCAGCTCCTGACCAGGGACGCCGAACCCCCTATTTACGTCACCAGTCGGGAACTCCCATAAGGCACCTCTGGGCTAATGCCAAGCTTGCTTTTCCGAGATCCCCCAAAGGCTCCAAACCGTGAACACGTACAAGAACCCTGAGAGGCACCCTGAAATACCTTAACCTGGTCCTGTTCTATAATGTTGACTGTAGCTCGTCCGAACGGAACAGTCGGCGTGCTTCCGTCTTTCGGATTTTCGACATGGAGACTCCATCATGGAGATATTGAAATAGGTACTCGGTACCAGGATCATGAGATTCGATAGGGATTCGTACGGTCTTTGTTGAGGAATTGGGTTGGGGCTACCGTGACCGATATATTGTGAGTAAGCATGATATCTCCGTGCTACGGTATCTCATTTAGCTGCATTTAAGCCTGCCGCTCTTTAGGGTTCAAACAGTTTCGTGCTTGGCGGCCCTAACCCCTAAACCCTTACTAAACCCTAAACCCTAAACCCTAAACCCTAAGCCCTAAACCCTAAACCCTGAACCCTAAGCCCTAAACCCTAAACCCTAAACCCTTACTAAACCCTAAACCCTAAGCCCTAAACCCTAAACCCTGAACCCTAAGCCCTAAACCCTAAACCCTAAACCCTGAACCCTAAGCCCTAAACCCTAAACCCTAAACCCTCGGACGAACCCCAGAAAATCTACCACGGTCAGGTTTAGGGCCGAACAAGAATTTCGGTTTAAGGTTTACCTTAACCTACCAAAACCTACTTTTTTGTAGGGCCCCTGTAAATTGCAAATTAGGGTTTATAATAAGAACCTACAAAATAGTAGGGTTTGGTAGTTTAAGGTAGGGTTTACCCAAAGGCCCCAAAGTAGTTCCTTTTTGGGGATCATGTGTATAATTCTATAAGGTAATCCCCAAAAAGAACAACTATGGGGCCCAATTATGGGTAAGACAAACTGGTCGAAGACTGTTTTTAAGTCTGTTTAGATATTTTAACAAAGTTTTATGAGGATGCCGGAAGAAGCTCAGAGGGGCCCGAAACAAACGTAACTAGCTGAAACCCATCTTTGGCTATGCGTGCCCTTTTTGGAGGCAGGGCTGCTTGTTTCCCTTTGCAAGAAACACTTCACACACTAGCACCCTCAAACCTAAACCTAAACCCCTAAACCACTGAACCCCTCAAAACCCGCAAACCTAAGACCCTCAAACCTAAACCCTAAACCCCTAAAGCCTCAACCCCCGAACCCCTAAACCCTAAACCCCTAAACCCTAAACCCTAAACCCCTAAACCCTAAACCCCTGAACCCCAAACCCCTAAACCCTCAAACCTAAAATACAAAGCCGTGCCTGGGGCTCGAGCTTCTTTCGCCAAGCCTCGCGGAGTGGCTTCCCCAAGCAAAGGAAGCGGGTTTAGGGCCTCTAGGGGCTTATGGTTTCGGGTTTAGGGCTCAGGGTTTAGGGCTCAGGCTTTAGGGCCTAGAGTTTAGGGTTTAGGGCTTAGGGGTTTCCGGCTGTAGGGCTTAGGGTGTGTGGGGCTTAGGCTTTAGGGCCTAGGGTTTAGGATTTAGGGCTTAGGGTTTAGGGCTTCGGGAACATCCACCCCAGCTACGAGTGGGATTATAGTATTCCTTTGAAGGTTCTATAGGGTTGAGGGTTTAAGGTTCAAGGTAGGGTTATGAGTCCCCTAACACGGGTTGTAATTACAGTTACCCTTCGGGCTTTGGGAACATCCAAACCTACATATGGGTGGTTGTCAATATTAGGGCCCCTCTTTTGGGTACCCTAAACATTAGGTGCCGTATTAGAATAAGGACCCAAAAAGGGACCCTAACTAGCATACCCAGTAACCTAAGAATAAAAAGGCCTCTCTTTTTGGTATTGGGTAACTTTATAAGGAACCTAGGACTACAAAAAGGGAATAAGGGTACTACTGGGCATCCTAGCTAATATTGACAACCACCCATACACAAAACTTACGAAGTCCTGCAAGCACACATCCGCTGGCCTATGGCAGCCTCAAGACTCGTGATTATCTTTCCAAGACCCATATAGAACCCTTAAAAAGTAGCCCTTATAGATCCTTTGAAAAGAAAAACCTACTTACAAAGTCCCATCATCCTCTAAGTAAGGGTCTGGCAGCAGTCGGTGGAGCCCTGCGCCCGCCTCCACCTGGGGAATTGGCAGGATGAGCTCTTCTGCAACGGCGGCAAGCTCCTCGAAGGCCTGTGCCGAAGCTCTGCGACGCAGGGCTCCTACTTGAAGGATCAGGGGACTTAGTAAGTAAGGCTACAAGCACCGTAATGGGGGTCATAAGTCGTTATAAATATATACTTATTTATAACTCTAGTTACTAAGTCCCATGATCCTTCAAGTAGGGTTGCGGTTCAGGGTCTAGGGCATAAAAGGTTTGGGTCAGTGCTGACTGGAAGCGACGGAGGGAAAGGTTTAAGCTGCTTTGCACTGCCGAGTTTAGGTTTATCGCGTGTGGTGACAGCTCAGGCTTTACTTTTAGTCTCCACGGTAGTTCCTGTTTTGGCTTAACCATTTGTCTGCTCAGGATCGTAACCCAAAAGAGGCACTGCAATAGATCCTATAGATAGGGTTGAGGGTTTAGGGTTCCAAACCTTCAGTCAACTTTCCCTCGCAGGTTCTTGCTCGGAGGCCGTTCATGTCAATAACCTTAAGGACGAAACGAACCCTAAAAGGGTTTAAGGTCCAAATACCATATTGAAATTCATAGTATAAGGGTATTGGGCCCCTGCTTTCAGGGTAGGTGTGTATACCTTAAACCCAAGTAACCTACCTTTTTAAGGACTTATATAAAGAAATCATAGTAGGGAGCCCTAAAAAGGTAGGTTCCGTAGGGTCCAGGTAGGGCCTTTACTTTGAGGGTCGTTTCGCCCTTAAGGAAATTCCGCGCGGTGAAGAGAGTCCGGTCCCAGGTACACCATAGTCTGCCCCCATGGTAAGGTTGAGTGTTAAGGGTTTAGAGCTTAGGGTTTAGGGATTAGAGCTTAGGGTTTAGTAGGGATTAGAGTTTAGAGTTTAGGGTTTAGGGTTTACGGATTAGAGTTTAGGGTTTAGGGTTTCGGGCTTACCTATATACTAACAAGTCAGAAACCTCCAGTTACGCCGTCAGCTCAGGTTGTGTGAAGCGCATGCAAACCTCCCGCCGGAGCTTGGCATAGTTCAGCTTTCGGCTGTTTCAAGCTTCTGAGGTTTTTTCAAAAAAGGCACGGTAGTCAGGTAGCTGGACTTCTCCAATACCTGGAAAATAAGCCCTACATAGTATCACCTGTAAACCTAATCGAGCCCCGCCCCTAAACGGTAGTTCATGGTGAGCCCTGAATTTGGGGGTGCGGGCCCTTCAAGTAAGGTGCTTGAAATAACCATATACTCTCTGAATGTGTACATCTTCTCCTCCTTGAACTCGAGGTACTCGACGCAGCACCGGGACGCTTGGTCACGGTCAGCCGCTGCAAAACTGGTGCGCTGGCTAGTAAGTGCTCGGCGATGCACCGGGTCCTGTGAAAGGTTTCGCGACCGGTGCCCAGAAACCCGGGAACCTTCAGGGCTTCAACCCAAACACCTTTGCTGTCCCTACTTGAATCTAAAGATCTGGGCTTTGGTAGGGCTCCTTCTCAATATTTCCTTAAAGAAGTCCTCAAGCCAAGGTATTCTTTTTGGGCACCAGGTAAATCCTAAATGCCTGTATTGGTAGATCCTACAACTTTCTGACCACAGGCTCAACCCGAGTATTATCAGAAGAGTTCAAAATGCGAGCTAAACCCGAGTATTCTCCAGAAGAATCCGACATGCCTCTGGAGTACACGAAGTACCCCATTACGACTTAAGCTTTCCTGTCAGACTCAAGTGGTTTGTGAGGAGTCTCTGGGAAACTTTAGTACCCCAAACCCTGAACCCTAAATCCTAAGGTCCAAACCGAGTGTCGACCTCACCTTGGGCTGGTCCAAGACAATCGCCAACCTGAACAGCAGAAAAACGAAGGAGCTCGCTGGACAGTGCGGAATTTCTGGCATATCGTCTTGATGCCTGAACTAACTGACTCAAATTGCGAGTTCGAATTCTCCAGCGATGCATGTATGCTGAACCCCGAACGAGCGAAACTCATCGGAAGCTCTCAGATTTAGTTTGGCGGTTAGGGTGCTCGAAGCATGTACAGCGAGGCTACGCATTAGGAAATGTCCAGGTTCTGGGTCTGTTCCCGTGGCAGCATTAGTTGAACAGGCTTTGGGGACAGATATTGTATCCTCGCTACGTTTATACCCGTAAGTATCGGGAGTAGAAAGGATTGCATATAAACGAAATCCAACTGTAGTTTTATCTCTACCATAATGTATAAAGGTACGTTAGTGGTCCTAGTTACTCGATTGCTCAGACCTCTATCATAAGCGAAAAATCTGATGACGCGCTCCTACAGCCCTGCAACAGGAAGATCCATACTCGCAGCCGCAGAATCAACAAATCGCATGGACGACGCAACGGTTTAGGGTTTAAGGCTTTGTTTTTTCATTTTTTGCGGTTGTAGTGCCACAGCTTACCGAGGTGTTGGTTTTTGTATGTATATATAAATCTAAACATATATATATATACATATGTTAAGAGATATATGTGTAAAAAACAGTAAAGCACATTGAAGCATGTAACAAATAGATAGCTAGTTGGGTTTAGGGGGTAGGGTGTTTGGAGTGTTGGACCGAGTTGCAGATGGGTAACGATACTGTTGATGTGATTTAATTCTGCATTACCTTCATGACCCTGCACTAGAGGAATTTTGGCATTTTCCTGATTATAGGTACTGCAGGATCCATATACCTAAACGCTCTAAACCCTAACACCCTATAGATCTATTAAAGGAACCCCCGTGAAGGTACCCTAGTAGATCCCTTTAAAGGAACCCTGCAGGATTTGTATCACACGCTCGATTCCGAGATCTTCCATTTCGGGCCTACGCACGAGAAGGACACCCTCATATCGCTAGGATTTAGGTGTTTGCGGGTTGGGGTTTAGGATTTTGGGGGTTTAGGGGTTTAGGGTTTACGGACTTAGGGAGGCACAGGGTCAAGTTCTTGAATAAACTCTCGGCGTAAGCTTCAAGATCTCGCACCAAGCCAGTGAGGAAATCTGTCTGTCTGTCTGACTGACTGAATGCACGAATGAATGCATGATTGTGTATACGTGTGTGTGTGTCGGTTTGCATACTGTATGCATGTAGGTATGCATGCATGCATGTATGTCGGTATGTCTGCAGCACAAGCGACATAAGCTCCGATACCCCAAAGCCCGAATCCCAAGCTCTCGCTCAACAACTCGGCGAGCTAATGAAAGCACCCAAAACTTACTTCCCCAATAAGCCAGGGAAATAAAAGGTTAAACTTTCAGATTACTACTAAAATATATAATCCCAAAAAGTTTAAAGGTTAGGTATTGGAGAACTGAGAAAAAACTCTTTCGCCTAATCAAAGTACCAAGCACCAGCCAAGAGCTTGCAAACCCCATACCATCCTAAACCCAGCTGAAACATGCTGACAACCCCCTAAACCTAAACGGCCCTAAACCCTAAGCCCATCGGAAACCCCCTAAATCGTAAAGGCCCTGAACCCAAAACCCACCCGAACCCCGCAAACCCTAAACTAAAAGCCATAAACTAAAGCCCTAAACCCCAAAAACTTAAACCCATAGAAGATCGAATCCCCCCTTAGCCGTCTCCAGCGCCTCAATGCGTCTGCTCCCCCCAGAGATTGGTTTGGCTTCTTCAAGAGCTGATACCAGAGATCCTGCTTGATGTGTCTTTTGTTTTAGGGTTTTGGCTTTCCGGTGTAGGGTTTAAGGTGTAGGGATACCGGTGTAGGGTTTGAGATGAGCTCCTCTGAAGGTTCAGGGTGTCGGGTGTAGGGTCTAAGATGTCGAGAAGCTTGTAAGGTTTAGGGTTGAAGTGGCCTTGGACAACATGCCTGTTCTGTACACACACAGACACAGCTACCATGCCATCTGCCTCTGTATAAAAACAATTACATGTATGCTCTCGGGTCCCGGACCGCCACCCCCCCCACCCCCCCTGCTGCCCTGCTGCTGCACGCCCACCCGCCCTGCCCGCACCTTGCCCGCCCCTTCACCTTGTGCGCGGATCGGGAGTGTCGCACTATGCCCTGCCGTGCCGTGTGCGGACAGCGGCAATCGGCGCAGTAGTTTCCAGCATCTGACATGACTTGCAATGCTGAATTATGAGGGTTGTATGGCGATGGTGATGGTGGCAGATATTCTTTTGAAGGTATTGATGTTGAGCATGGTCTGATACTCATGTCCCGGTCTAGAGCAGCACAACATCATGAGCAGTATCACCGGTGCCACAGCAAGAGGGAAGACAAGGAGTAACACATAAGAACGTCGCGGCAAAAAGTGTACCACCACTGGCCCCACACCACAGGGGGGGCCGGGGGGAAGGGGGAAGGATACCATGGGGTGGGGGGGGAGGGGGGGGTATGGCAGCCCTGCATCATATGTACTGAGACTAGGCACAAAAAGCAGAAAGTATGCAACCATCCACGAATCCCCAACACAGCCCAGCATGGCGCACGATCCACAGCAACTGCGCTGACAGCGTAGTATCGGGGCCTTTGTATATGGAATATTGTATTGGAGCGCACTTTACTGTTCTTATTGTAATAAGGAACACTCAAAATCGTATAGGTAATGATTACGGCCCCTCATATAGAACCCCTACAGTAGCCCTCATAGACCCGGTTAAAGGACGGAAAGCATCGGGCCGCCTTCCCTTTCCAGGCTTCCGTGTCCCCAGCAGCCTCGAACACGCAGCTTGGGTATTGAGTGGACGTGCTAAAGCCTTGTGTAGGGGCCTTCTTCATAATTAGACTAGAACAGGGTTTGGGCCAGGATACCCTAACAAGGAGCGCCGAAAACTCTGTTCTATTTTTTGGGCCTCTACATTATAGGCCCTAGACTCCTCAATGTTTCCAGCTTCAAGAGTCGGGGTATAGGACTCGGAAAGTCGGGTTTAGCTTTTCAGTGAGAGGTTCGTTGACAGTCGCCACCCATGTTTGAAAAAAGGGTTCTTTGTTGGGACTTTGTGAAATCTCTATCGCAGGCCAGCGCCGCAGCAGCACAACCATGTACAACTGAGCCCAAGATGTGCGGGAGTGTCAACCCCGGAAGTCTAAACCCGGCTGTAACGAATCCATGATGAGACGCTCATCAAAGAAAAGAGATCCATGCGAAACAAACAAACCCTGAAACCCGCGAAAACCCTCAACCCTAGAACCGCAAAACAAAAAACGTAAAACAAAAAACAACAAAAACGAAAAACGACCCTCAACCCTAAACCCGTGAACCAGAAAAACAGACCGAACCCTGGACCCCTAAACTCTCAACCCCAAAATAAGAGCCCCTACGGACCCCTAGAACCCCAAACTTCAAACCATCCGCCACACTAAAGCCTATAACCAAAAAGCCGCAAAAAAAAAAAAAACCTTAAGCTCTCAACTCCGGGTGGGCCTGAACGACTTCTCCGCCATCGTCCTCCCTGGGATCAATCTAGGCTCTTCTTCAGGAGTTTACTTTGATCTACCATAATTACTGTTGAGGATATATATATATATATATATATATATCCTGCATTACCCATAATAAGGAATATACCATTCTTCCCATAGTCTAGGGTCTTTTTCTACCACCAACCGTAAAACACCGCAATGCGAAGTGTCGATCCCTCTTCGTTTACCTTAGATCCCGCTAGTCCAGATTCCCAGAGCAACTAAAGGATTGACCTTGGGGATCTTATATAGGTTGGGTACCCCAAAATGATAAAGGTATCCTACTCTACTAGGCTCTACTACGAAATTAAAAGAAGCCTTAACCTCAAACATGTTTAGAACTCTCTTCGAGAAACTCGATATTGTAGTAGCTTAAATTAAGTTCCTTGCCCTACGCCCTTGTAAAACCCTGGTAAAGCAGCTGGTAGAACCCTGCCAGGAACCCTATATCATGGTAAAATAAAATAAACTCCTTGACCCTAAACCCTTGTAGAACCATTGAAACCCTTAACTACACAAGCTTGACTAAATGCTTGTAGTAGTATAGTATATAGTATATAGAACCCTTAAAGGAAGTCTGAAGGGAACGTTAATCTGTGGTACGTAACTTTAGCTAGCTAATGCCTAAACCCTAAAGCCTGAAACCCGAGACCCTGAAACGCGAAACCCTAAACCTAAACCTGAAACCCTCAAAGGAACCCTGAGCTGTGGCAAATTAAACTCTAGGATGCCCAGTAACCTAGGAATAAAAAGGGCTCCCTTTTTGGTATTGGGTACCTTTATAAGGAACCTAGGACGACAAAAAGGGAATATGGGTACTACTGGGCATCCTAGAACTACCCAGAGGCCCCAAAGTAGTTCCTTTTTGGGATTACCTTATAGGATTCTATATATGAGCCCCCAAAAGGAACTACTTTGGGGCCTTTGGGTACTCCCAAATACCCTAAACCCAGGCAACTCTAAACCCTAAACCCTGAACCGTCCTAGAACTACTCCCAAATACCCCAAACCCAGGCAACCCTAAACCCTAAACCCTGAACCGTCCTAGAACTACTCCCAAATACCCTAAACCCAGGCAAGGTTCGCATCCTCCTCGTCGCAGTCCTCGTCCACTTCGGCCATGGGCTCAACCTCCTCCTCTGGTTCTCGGCTTCGGTGAAGGTTTAGGGTTTTGTTTTTTGGGTTCATGGCTTTAGTTTAGGGTTGTGGGGTTTTGGGGTCTCGGGGTTTAGGGATTAGAGCTTCGATGTTTCGGGTGTTGCGCTTCGGGTTTGGGGTTTAGGGGTTGTTTGGGATGCTGGTAAGGGTTTGTATAAGGCTTCGGTGATATGCTAGTGTGGGCTAACCGGGGTTTAGGGTTCAGGAGGCTTCGGGGCTTGGGGTGCATGTATACATATATATATATATATATATACATATAGGTGTTGTTCGGGGAAGCAGTATCTCTCTGAAATGAGGGGTCCGACCAACCAATCTGTGATCGAAAAGCCCGCAACATACGTGCCATACTCTATATTTTATCATCAGGAACCCCAACCCTATACCCTAAACCCTGAACCCCTTCGTCACCCTAAGCCCTAAACCCTAAACCCCTAAGCCCTTAAACCCTAAACCCCTTAACCCTAAACCCTTAAACCCTAAACCCTTAAACCCTAAAGCCCTCAAACCCTAAACCCTTAAACCCTAAACCCTTAAACCCTAAACCTTTAAACCCTCAAACCCTCAAACCCTAAACCCTTAAACCCTAAACCCTTAAACCGTAAACCCATAAACCCTTAAACCACTAAACCCTTAAACCCTAAACCCCTAAACCCTTAAACCCTAAACCCCTAAACCTTTACACCCTAAATCCCTAAACCCTTGAACCCTAAACCCCTAAACCTTTGAATTCTAAACCCCTAAATCCTTAAACCCCTAAACCGCTATCAACTCTCCTCTTCAACAACCGGGCCCCAAAAAGTTCAAACTTTCGAAGATAGAGCTAATATATAAGGCCAAAAAGTTTAAAGTTCCCCCGTTCACTGTCTAAGTTAAGGCACCGAAACTCCAGCCATTCCAAAACAGGAAGCCTGGGCCAGACCATCGCAACTGCGCAGCACTTCTAAACCCTTCTCAAAAGGGAGAAGGAGGGACCCTTAATGGGACCCTTTAAAGGGATCTTTAGGGATTCTATAAGGGTATAGGGTTTAGGGGGGGTTTTGGGGGTTTACGGGAAAAGGAGGGACCCGTATTGGGGACCCCTACCCTATAATGGACTATATAATGGGTATATAATGGCTATATTATGGGTATATACCTAGAGTTCTTATTGGGGGTCCCTCCTTTTATCCTTTGATTTTCGGTTGCTAGGATGCAACTTCTAAACCCCCGGATGCCCAGTAACCTAGGCTTAGGGTTTATCGGGCTTATAGGGCTTATAGGTTAGAAGCTGCCCTCACTCTGTAATAGTGGTATAATAAGAATATAATAGGGCCCTAATATACTCCTTATAGTCACTATTACAGGGTGGGGGCAGCCTCTAACTTATAGGGTTTATAGGGTGGTGGGGATCTAAGATGCCCAGTAGCCAAGGAATAAAAAGGGCTCCCTTTTTGGTATTTTTTTGGTATTGGCTAGGTGTATAAGGAACCTAGGACTACAAAAAGGAAATAAGGGTACTACTGGGCATGCTAAGTTTGAGGTTTAGAGCTTCAGGTGTCCTCGAACTTGGGTTCAAAATCACCCGCATTTTGGCGGTAGCGGAGCATCAGCAGGTCCACGAACTCAGTGGTTCAGGTTCACCAGATTCCCAGGCATCATCAGTCAATTGATTGAGGATTCCGCCGAGAGGTGGCCGGCCGTCACTAGGTCCTTCCTCAGAACGCATGGATCGGGATTGCTGGGGTTCCCGGTCCCGGTGGCCTCGATCCATTCTGTCACCACGCTCTGCGCGTGTACGGTCCCGATCCCGGTCTGGATGATCATCGCAATGGCCGCATACATAGCCAAAGACTCCAATTTGCCTTAATTGAGGAATATACCTTAAATTATAGTAGGATCCCTAATATGATTCAAGGAATATTCCCTAATCAAGGCATGTTCGAATCCACTAAATCCTAAACCCTATAGATCCGTTAAAGGAACTCTAGGTATTAGAGGAATATACCATAAAATATTGGAGTCTCTTGGTAGAGGTCCCGGACAAGTTGCAAGTCCCGAAGCCTTCTTCTGAGCGCCTGGTGCTCAGGCCTCGCAACCTGAGAGAACCCTAGGGGTTTAGGGTTTAGGGCCTAAAAGTTTAGGGGGTTCAGGGTTTAGGGTTTTAGGGATTTGAGGTTTAGGGCTTAGGGGTTTAAGGGTTTAGGGTTTTAGGGATTTGAGGTTTAGGGTTTAGGGGTTTGGGGGTTTAGGGTATTAGGGGTTTAGGGGTTTGGGGTTTAGTGGTTTAGGGGTTTAGGGTTTAGGGATTGGGGTTTGGGGTTTAGGGGTTTAGGGTTAGCAACTGGCCACCAACTCACAATCGCATGTGCAGGACTTTCGATGTAGTTAATATAAGGAGAGCAGCAGCGGTTGCACTTCGTTGCAGTAACCCCCACAAGTACCCTTTCTAATGACCCTTATGGTAACCCTTGCTTTACAGGATCCTACAGTATCTGATATTAACCCTAAAAGGCATACTTTACAATGTTATCTAGCATCTCTAAACCCAGTCCAAAAACCTTTGAACCTCCCTATCGTACCCCATCAAAAGAACCCTATTCTGCTTTCTAAAGCTCCAGTACAGGCCCGAAACTTCAAACCTCCCAAACCCTAACCCGATCCTGACTCTATACCGGTCCTAAGCCCTAAACCCCCAAACCCTAACCGTTCCGAAACCTCCAAACCCTAAGCCGACCCCAAACCTCCAAACTCTAACCCTAAACCGACCCTAACCCTCCAAGCTTTAACCCCAAACCCTAAACCCTAAACCTCAAATAACCTACCTTTTTTTTAAGAATAGAGAAATCCTATTACGGAACCCTAGTGGGGACCTGGTAAACCGACCCTAGGAGCATCCCTTCGAGTCCTTCTGCTCCTCCTCTTGGGCGCCTTGGCCCTCGCCAGAGCCGGCCTTCATCAGCTCTTGGGCTCTTGGCGTCTTGTTTAACCCTACCTAGAGTCTCTATTGTAATTCCTTTTTGGGGGTTACCTTATAGGATCCTAATTACATAATTGGTTAAACCAAAAAAGCTCAAAGGGCTCGTATTTTGATGTTTTTTTGGTCTAAAGACCATATCATATAAGGCTTTCGGGCCATTTTGAGCCTAAGGGTAGGGGTCCGTGTGCCCAAATGGTGTATACTTTGGCCCCAAAGTACGCAGATAGAGAAGGGACTACTTTAAGACCAAAGTATATACTATCCGGTTACATGGACCCTTAAGTAAGCTTTGGGGCTTAGGGTTTATTTAAGGCTCAGGGTTTAGGGTGTGGGGCTTAAAATAGGGTTTAGGGCGCAGGGTTTAGAGATGAAGGGCTTGAATCGGGCTTAGGGTTCAGGGCCCAGGTTTTTTTTTTTTGTTAATGGGTCAGGTTGTAGGCAATAGGGATGAAAATGTGGTTTAGGATTTAGGGCTCAGGGTTTCGGGCACGGGATTGGATCTAAGTGCTGAGAAGTAGGACTTCAGGTTGTTTGTATCGTCGTGGCTCCGGGACACTAAGATTTGAACAGTGCTAGGTGTTACAGCCCTGATTAGCATTGTTGTTGCTATTATTGTCATGGTTTGGGTTGCCGCTTACATGAATGCTCGAACTTTCGGGCCGTTCCAGAGCAAGGCTCAGAGATTGGGTTGTTGCTTCTTAGCGGAGGGCCGAACTATTTGAGTTTTCTTGTTTGGGTTACATAGACCTCCAACAGTAGGGAAAGTAATGGTCCAACACCTATAAACGGCGATTGTTATATGGTGATGGGGACGGCTGCGGGGATTACGTGCGAAACGAAGTTCCCTTACCACAGGTCAAGTCCTCCAGGTGCGTAAGCTGCCACAAACCTAAACTTTAAAACCCGAACCCTCAACCCGAAACTCCGAGCCCGAAACATACCCTAAACCATCCTAAACCCCAAATCCCCAAATGCACCTAAACCCGAAACCCTGAAGCCCAATGCTCCTAAATCCTAAACCCCAAATGCTCCTAAACCCTTTACCCTAAGCCCCAAAATGCTCCTAAACCCTAAACTCCAAATGCTCCTAAACCCTCCTAAACCCTAAACCCCAAATGCTAAACCCTAAACCCCAGATGCTGAACCCTAAACCCCAAAGCCCTAAACCCTGCTTGGCAGTGCTTCGCCTCCTCGGATGCCAAGCGGAGAAGATAGGTGAGCATCGGAGCATCCCCTTGCAGCAATGCGACCTCGGCAAGGCATGCTGCTTGGGATTCCCTTTACAGGGGATGTACAAGGGATCCTGAAATGTTCCTTTAAGGGATCTATAGGGTTTAGGGTCTAGGGTCTAGGGCATATTTGGGATTTACGGGTTTACAGTTTTGCGTGTAGGAAGGTTTAGGGTTGACCTCAACCACAAATGGCCTACCTTTTTTGAGAACTTTTACAAGGAAATCATAGGTTATTTGGGGTCCAGGTGGGGTTTGGGGGCTCGGGGCTTCTAAGGGTTTCGGGTCTTTGGGTTTGGGGTCGCTCAGGCAGAGATTATAGTCTGAAAGATATGGCTGGTTGTCAAAATTATGGTCCCTAATTGGGTACCCTACCTTTTAGCTGCCGTATAGTATTAGGGACCCAGAAAGGGACCATAATTTTGATAACCACCCATATGGGAGTTGCAGAAAATTAGGGCGATTAGGGGTGCCTTGTTTTGGGGTCGTTATAGCAAGGGCCCCACCTGTTGGGTTACTATACTAGGGTTCCCTATTTGCGGATAAAACCAGCATTAATCTTTAAGGGTCAAAGAGTCCCAATAATTAGGTAGTTGGATTTCGGGGAGTAGCTATGTAAGCTTAGTATTTGGGATCGTATACCCTCTTCCCAATAAGCGGGCCCCTATTAGTTCAAACTCTCTGTCTGGCATAGACATAGACTATGTACTTCCAAAGGCCACGAAGCAAAAGTTTTCCCGGTGGCTAGGCAAGAAAACTTCCTATCGAATGTGATGCAACGTGAGTTAAACAAGAAACCATCGACGGGGTGAACGTTTTCAGATTGGGATGTACGCCGCAGAATTTCCCTTGTCCGTACAGCAAACATACAGATAACTGCTACAAGCTGAAAGCATACATGTTCCATGGAGCACACAACAAACATAGCCAAACTGCCTCGGGATTTGATGTTTGACGAATCGCAGGGGGGTTGGGTACCGGGGCAAACCCCAAGGGTCCAAGTACCTAATAATCATATACTCTCCCAAGTACAAACCTACATACATACTATCCTAAACCCAAATACCTTATTGTTGGGTCGTTTGGACCCTTGGGGAAAAGCCTTCCTGTTGGGCGGGCACGAAACTTGTGGGTTCTGGCATCAGATTCTCGGGTGCTTCTTGTACGTATCGCCGTGAACCGCTGAACCTCCTGCACAATGTCCTCGCGATCGTCAATCAGTGCGACGGCCTTGGAATCCAGACCACGATCCCTCTGGTACCATTGGTGCGCATCGGCTTTGCCTCCTCTGCCAAGGGGCTTATGGCAAATATAAGTGCCTTGGTAGTTCTGTGCCAATGGTTTCCGTGGTGCGCAGGCCTCGCTCGTAACCAGAATACGCGATCACACTAACCTCGAGTGTCAAGCCACGCGGCAAATGTGCATTGAGATCGTCAATGAAAGCACGCGAAGCGTCCTACGAGACATCAAGGACCCCGTGGGCGTCACAAGCCAAAACAGCTCGACGAGGTTCTTCATACATGGATGTGAAACTGGTGAAAGCGCATTCACCATACTTTCGGCGACCGATTAGAATAGGGCTTTGGGGGCCATTCTACTATAAATATACTATAAGGGACCCCCAAAATAGTACAGGTAATTATTAAGCCCCTATACTATCGTAACCTTATACTAACCCGTATAGTAGCCATTATAGACCCCCTTTAAAGGAACCATACATGTGAATGCATTGCGGAGGTGGAGCTTAGAGGGGCCCTTTCAAAAGTACATGGTGAGGGTCCAACGCCGGACAAAAGGGTTTTGACTGGTTAGGGTTTAGGGTTTAGAGTTTAGGAATAGCAAAATGGAAACGCAGGGCAGCCATTCTGTGACAGCTAACAGTCGAGAAGCTGAAGGCAAATCCTCGAAGCATGCTCCCATGCTGAAGGGAAATTGGGGCTCCAAGCACTGTAGGGTTTAGGGTTTGGGGTATAGGGTTGAGGGTTTAGGGTTTAGGGTGTAGGGTTTAGGGTTTCGGGTATAGGCTTGAGGGTGAAGATCTTACTATTTGGATACTTCCCCCTGGGCATCGCAGTACAGCCATGAGGAACTAGAATACTAAACTTGCATCCGAACCTTTACAACAACTATAGTGAGGTATTGAAGGCTTGCGATTTGGGATTTCGGGCTTAGGGCTCAAGGTATAAAGGCTCCAAGCAGCGAGTTTAACACAAGGGACTTAAACTTTCGGATTAGGGGTTATGGCTTAAGGTTTAGGAGTTTAGGGCCTGCTAGAGCGATTCTGTTAATGGCTATTGAAGCCGCTATTTTGTGGCTTCAGAGTTCGAATGTCTGTCGACAGGTCGAAGGCAAGATGTGAAGGCAACCCTAAACCCTAAACCCCTAACCCCTAAACCCTAAATTTGGGATCTACCTGGGCCCCGGAGGACCCCAAAAACCTGCCCATTTAGGGCTCCCTAATATGATTGTCCTTAAAAATGTCGTCCTTAAAAAGGTAGGCAGTTTGGGGTTAAGGTAGGGCTTTCAAAGGTTCAGAGTTGGGGGGTATGGGGCCCTAAACCCTAAACTGTAAATTTAAACCCAAAACCCTAAAATGCCGAAGTCCCCGACCTTCGACTACCTTGCGCATTTTGGCCAAGCCACTTCGATGGGCGATACGTTCACATAGTCTTCAAGAGGCTCGGGCTGCTCCTCACGAAGATCTAAACCAGATTGTGCTCAAGTTCTATAGTGTATACATTGGCCTTAAAGTGCTATATCGGAAAACACTTCATATCCTGAGTATTTACTACAAGGGTACACAGATATCAAGGACGGGAACGATATTGGCTTCCTTGCAAATTTCCTGTATATGCGGCTCCCGTAACCCAAGATAGTTGAAGGGGGAATCTATATGCCTACATATCTCACTATCTATCTATATGCATATACTCTGTATGTATGTGTATATATATATATATATATATATATATATTCTAGTATATACATACACACACACACACACGAGTATACCATAGACAAGGAAGTCATCGTCAGTAGCACTAAACCTGAAGGCCTTTGAGAGTCCTTAGACCGTAGAGGACCCCCTCTTCGCGGCTATCGGTAACATACTTAAAGGAATCCTTAAAGGAGCCCTTAGGGTTCTATAATACAGGGGCCTACATAACTGCCAAGTATAGTATAATAGGGTTCCTGGTAAAGGGCTCCTTCAAGGGATACTACAAGGGTACGATAAGGGATTTAGGGATGTAAGGGCCTTTCAGGGATACTACAAGGGTTACTATAAGGGATTTAAGGATTTAGCGGGCTAGGGTTCCTGTAAAGGGTTCATTTGAGGGATACTATAATGGTACTATAAGGGATTTAGGGATATAGGGGCCTAAACAAATACCAATAGTATGCTGGTGGGTCCTTATTATGATTATGGCCTCATAATACATCCGAGCCGCTAGTCTAATTACTAAGGCCCTCATATTACTTGGACTCCCAGGTCGAACCCTCAACTCGAAACCCTATTTCAGAATTACAGTGGCATCGATTCAAGGCCACAGTCATTTCAGGGGCTTCCAAGCGTTGACGGCTTCTTTTGCCAGGGTTGTCGAGGGGGCTGTGTCTTTGGTGAGGGTCTTCTGCTTCTTTGAAGTCTGAAGTTTGGGGCTAAAGGAGCCGCAAGCCCAGTGACCTGTGTAGCAGATAAGCATAAAGTGGCCACAACCCTGTCAAGAACAATGTAGATAGTCCTCGAAACGCCGAAAAATCCCTCTCAATTCCTTCGAAAGATAATTACTGATTAACAGAGCTCCTTACCCCTAAACCCTAAAACCTACATGTTTGCATCCGAAACTTAGGGGTACCTTATATGGGGGTCCTGATAGTAAGGATCCTACTATTCAGAGTCAGTACTATATTAGGGTCCCCTGTTTTCGGAAACTCGCACATGCTTGTGTCATAGGAACTTAAGGTACGACACCCTTATAGTAGCCCTTATAGGACCCCTTTTAAAGGAAGCCTTTAAAGGAACGCTATCAGGAAGCCTTTAAAGGAACCCTATCATAGGGAAGCCTTTAAAGGAACCCTATTACAGGGAAGCCTTTAAGGGAACCCTATCAGGAAACCTTTAAAGGAACCCTGTCATAAGTTCCCCTAAACCCTAAACCCTAAACCCCTTTTAAAGGAAGCCGAAAAAGGAGCCCTATCGTAGGGACTTATCCACTGCAGCGTCCTCCTCATCTTCGGCCTCGCCTCCGACGGCCATCGCCATCGCAGTGGAGCCGTGTTTCTCAGCGGGTGCAGGCATGGGCCAACGGTTCCTTTAAAGCTTTAGGCTTTAGGGTTTTTTAAGAGTGGGTTTAGGGTTTGAGGGTTCCTTTAAAGCTTTAGACTTTAGGGCCTTTAGGCATTGTTTTTTCAGAAAGTGGGTTTAGGGTGTAGGGCTCTCTTAAAGTTGGCCCTAAACCCTCAACCTAGAGCTTCAAACTTTAAAGCTTTGGGGTTTAGAGTTTAAGGTTTGCTTGGAGGATCATGGGACTTAGTAAGTAAGGTTATAAGTAGGTTATAGTTATAGCCTACTTACTAAGTCCCATGATCCTTGAAGTGTCCTATAAACTCCCCCTTGTAGAACCCTTGAATAGAACCCTAGTAGATCCCTTAAAGGAACCTAGTTACTAAGTCCCATGACCCTTTACGTGGGGTTTTGGGCCAAGGGTGCCTAAGGATTCGGGGTTGGTTTATCGTTCAGGGTCCAGGCTCTGGGGTTTGTTTAGGGTTCAAGGTTTAGGGTTAGGGTTCAGGGTTTAGGGCTTCGGGTTCAGGGTTCAGGGTTTAGGGTTCAGGGTTTAGGGTTCAGGGTTTGCTTAGGGCTCGTTGTTCAAGGTTGAGAGCCTGCTTTGGGCTCAGGATTTCGGCATAAGCAATTGTTCAGGGGTAAACGGGGTTACTTAAAGGATCATGGGACTTCGTAACTAGGGTTATAAGTATAAGTAAGGTAACTATACTTATGACCCCAATTAAGGTACTTATAACCTTACTTATACTAAGTCCCATGATCCTCCAAGTAAAAGGCTGGGGGTTTGTTGAGGGCTCTATGGGGCTTTAAGGCTTATAGGGTGCCCTGGGAAAGAAGGGAAACCTATATCATCCTTCCTCCCGGTGGTGTAACAGTCAGGATGCTACAGGGCACCACTGTGCCCGCATGAACAAAGGCGTCGAACTGCAGAATTTAGGGTTTTAGAGTTATAAGGGTTGGGGAGAGCACCCTAAACCCTAAACCCAAACAAAAACGTTCTGCACCTGCAGCCCATGCCCACATAATATGGGAGTTTCCGACAACAGGGGACCCTAGTATAGTAGGTCCTTAAATAGTAGGATCCTTAATCTGAGGACCCCGAAATAAGGGTACCCCTCATTTTCGGAAACCCCATACATTGTATACCAACCCTTCACTTCAGACTGGAAGCCCTGAACCTTCAAACTTTGCCCGAAAGATCTGGGGAGTGAGAATTTAAGATCATTGTCAGCAAGGTCATAACTAACGTAAACCTAATACACCCCAATTCAAGAGGCAATCGATAACCTGCTGATTCATAGCCTTAAACCCTAGGGCCCTAAACCCTAAACCGTAGGGCCTTAAACCCTAAACCCTAGGCCCCAAAACCCTATAGGTACAAATTGCATGATCCCTCAAGTTAGCCTCTTGGAGCCCGATGCATTTGTGTTCGATCCCAAGGCTACGGAAAGGTTTAGGGTTTAGGGTTTAGGGGTTTAGGGTTCAGGGGTTTGGGGTTTAGGGTTTGGGGGTTTAGGGGTTTAGGGTTGAGGGTTTAGGGTTTAGGGGTGAAGGGGTTTAGGGTTTAGGGTTTAGGGGTTTAGGGGTTTAGGGGACTAGAGCTTAGGGGTTTAGGGTTTAGGGGTTTAGGGTTTAGGGGTGTAGGGTTTAGGGTTTAGGGTTCAGCAGCTCCGGTCCGTGAAGCTTTACGGTACAAATATACTTACAGTTTTGAAATAACATCCACCCACCTAAACCCTAAAGGCCCTAAACCCTAAAGCCATGAAAACCCTTAGGGGCCACGAATTCATCAAGATTTAGCCGAAAGACCCTTGTTCGTGGCCCCAAAGGGTTTTTGGCCCTAGACCCGAAAACCCTTAGGGGCCACGAATTTTTGAGGTCTAGACCCGAAAACCCTTAGGGCCACGAACTCATTAAGGTTTAGCCGAAACACCATTGTTCGTGTTTAGGGGTTTAGGGTGTAGAGGTTTTGGGTTTAGGGTTTTTAGAAATTGTTAAGGGTTTGGGTGCCAAAAACGTTTTCAACGAAACATTTCCCCTTTTGAATCCACACCTTGAGTTTGGGGGGGGGGAGGGGGCCAAAAATGGGGCCTGGATTTGGGGCTGGGCCTGGATTTGGGTTCCGGGGCCTGGATTCTGGGCCTTGGGCCTGGACTTGGGCCTGGACTTGGGCCTGGGGCCTGGATTTGGGGGGTCTGGAGACTGGATTTGGGGATTTTGGGGCTTTTGGGGCTTGGGGTCTGAGCCTTGCGGCCTGGATCTGGGGTCTGGGAAGGTGGGCCTGGATTTGGGGTCTGGGCTGGCTTTGGGGTTTGGGGCCTGGGTTTTGGTGCTTTTTTGGGCGATTTGGGGTGTGGGCCTTGGGGCCTGGATTTGGAGAAATTGGTTTATCAAGAAGCTTGTTCAATTTTAAGCGGTGTGTTGGGCCGTAATGGTGGTTACAAGTTTGTGGAGAGATTGGTCATCAAGTGTGTTGGGCCGGCTGGGCTGGGCTGGGCTGGACCGGGCTGGCTGGGCTGAGTTAGAGGTTGAGGTCGTGGTTGTGCGAAATTGGTTTATCAAGAAGCTTGTTCCGTTTTTGACCGGGTGGCTGTTTTGAGTTGGCTGGGCTGAGTTAATGGTTGAGGTTGTGGTTGTGCGAAATTGGATTATCAAGAAGCTAACGCCAATTTTAACCGAAATGCTGGGCCCTAGCGGTGGTTACAAACAAGGACAAGCAATTTCTATTTATCACTTTCTTGAGGGTTTAGGGTTTAGGGTCTAGGGGTTTAGGGGTTTAGGGGTTTAGGGGTTTAGGGTTTAGGGTCTAGGGCCTAGGGTTTAGGGGTTTAGGGGTTTAGGGGCTTAGGGTTTAGGGTTTAGGGTTCAAGGAACAAAAATGTACCTTTCTGCCGATTCCACAATTTTATAGGGGGAAAAAGACCTGATAAAGCCAAACCCTAAATCACTGAACCTTAAATCCTACACCCCTATAAACCCTACACCTTCTAAACCCTCTAAGCCCTCAATCTTAAAATACCCCTAAGTCTAGGCCCTGAGCCTGAAGATACGCCTACACCCCTGATAAACCCTCCAAGCTCTCAGCGCTGAACTTTCGGCGAGCCCAGAGACTCCAATATCCCTTAATTAAGGAATATTCCTTAAATCTTAATAGGATCCCTAATATGATTTAAGGAATACTCCTTAAGTTATAATAGGATCCCTAATATGAGTTAAGGAATATTCCTTAATTAACGGATATTGGAGTCTTAGGATAGTAGTAATGGGGGCTTATAGGGGTTTAGGTGATGGAATGAGGGCTTAGGCACGTTTAGAGTTTGGTTTAGGGTGTAGGGTATAGGGGGTCTCTGGGAGGCACCTTCTTGGCAAGCTCTCGGAGACGCTCCAGGAACCCGGCCTCGTGAGCTTGGGGGTTTAAAAAATCCCGGGGTTTAGGGTTTTAGGGCTTTTAGGGTTTAGGGTTTAGGTGAGCTCCCGGGCTCTGGATATGTAATTATGTAGGGACCTTATGAAGGGTTTTTGGGGTTTCCTCATTATGGCCATCGTATAACATACCCCAAACCCCAAGTCAAAGCTTATTCTGATTTTCAAGGCCCCTGCAATACCTGGGGATCCACAAACCTCCTGGCTTAAGGGTTGCACCCAAGAAGACTTAGAGGGCATTATACTGTTTCGAAGGGTTTGGGGCTACAGGTACTCTTGGAGCATTATCGGGCATAGACAAGTATATAGTAGAAAAATATGCGTTTGATATACAAGATATACAAGGCGTTCTGTTTCTTGAGAACCCTTGTGACTGGGTTTCGGGTGTTCGTTTCAGGGGTTCGCAATATTGGGGCCTCAGCAGCTAGAGTAGAGATACAATCCCAGACACACTGGAAAGTAGAACCCCTATCAATGTAGGATCTACCCTTTCGAGCCTCCAAGCGGTCTGGCTATGGACCCGATCTACAATTTTGAGTATTTACGTCTATATTGCAGCTTTTACTTTGGTGGTTGAACCTACTATGCAGACACCCTAAATTCCATACATAGCTATGCTTGTGCATTGGGTTACTAGGTTGACCTTTAACCCCCTCAACCCTAAACCAACAACCCCATAGACAGATTTAGGAGCCATGAACCCCGCTAGATACAGTTAACTTAGCTCCCGGGCCTCGATACCCAAAAGCCTAAACACGCGACCACCGTTTAGGATTTCCGGCTTGGCGTTCGGGGTTTAGGGTTTACAACCCGTGCAAAACAGCAGCAAGCCGGACCTATAATGTAGGGGCCTTAATAATTAGAATATGGGTTTAGGGCCCATGATAGCATGTAGAATAAAGAAGAACCCCACAATTGTTATTGGTAACAAATGGTAACAACTTTGACACCAATATTATCCTGAAAACGAAAGCTTGTCGGATCGACTTGTGCCGTTTGGGAAATATCTAGCGTTCAGGGGTTAAGGGTTTAGGGTTCTGGGGCTTAGGGTCGAGAGTTTACGATATGGATGTACACGGTGCAGGAACCCACACAAGCCAACATGTAACATGTGTGGGTTCCTCGGGTGGGTGCCACCTTAATTCCCTAAACTCCAAACCCCCAATCAACAACTCAACCCTAGTCGCCAAAGCCTAAACCCCCAAAACGGAAGCAAAAACTGCACAAACCAAGGACCCTGTGAGCCCTGAACCTTAACCCTAAAACACTAACAGTACACTAACGCTAAACTTTTGACATAGGTTCCAGCCCCCCGAAAAGGATGCAAAAACAAACTAGGATTGGGATCTCCCAATTTCATCAATCCCCCCCCCCCCCCCCATAATGAAATCCGATAGGGTAGGGATATGCTTGCAACATGTTTACGCTTATGTCCCCCTGTTGGGTCCCCTATCTTCTTCCTTCAAATTCCATCGGCCTGCACCTTGAGCATCTTCTCAGGGACGTCCTGGGCTTGGGTCTATAGGGCTCACGGTTCAGGGTTTAGGATACAAGGTTGAGGGTTTTTTTGGGGTTTAGGGTTTAGAGTC